AAGTTTTTACTATATGCTAGAGGTGACTATTAGCTTTATCAATGATGTTTTGATCGACATGGGAGTAACATATCCAGGACATTTGTAACGTGTTAGATTAGCTATAAAAAATTGGTTTAAAGCTAAAACAGTCAAAGTGTGTGTTTGGGTCCAAAGACAAGACTTATCTTGGGTATGATATATCTCGTGAAGGTTTGCAAGTTGATCTTGATAAACTTGTAGTTATTCTTAAGTTCCCTACTGTAAGCAATTAAATTTTCCATTCTACTTTAGTCACTTAACCACACCTTCCACCACCTAGAGGAGTCTCACTCACAACCTCCGTAACTCCTATTTTGGACTTGGGCATGCTAGCCCCGAGAATGGCATCCCCGCCACTCAACCTTTGCACTTGGCCCAAGTGCTCCACGTGTCCAATCCTATGACCAACACCCAAAGGTACTACGGACATATCGGCTCGTTATGCTAAGGCCATGCCCATTCACCTTTGCCACATTTGTGGTCTAATACCACTTACATCGCAATCCCGTCTCTCAAATACTGGGCCATCCGTCCATGAGTGACCATCCTAGGTCCACTCCTTAGCATCCTTAAGATGCCCGCAAACATGGGGAACAGCGTTCCCTAATATCCCTTTTACAGTCCCCACCAAGTCCCTTTTCTGCCCATGGCCGTGTTCGCCAACACTGCCACTCAGACAAGGCCCATAGGCCCGAACACTAAGTCCCACTGTCCTCTGGGACTTTCTCACCACATGACTGCATCATTGGGCACTACACTAGAGGACCACTCCTCTTCCTTTCCATAGTCTGGGACTTTGGGACAACATCTTGGAACACTATGGCCTTACACGAGCCTCATGGGTACTCTCCCCACCTTCCGCCTTTTGGTGCTCTAGCCATGGGCTTAGAGCGAGGTTCTGTTGAGCCACACTAGGTATCCAAGTAAGTAGTGCCACCCACACTTGGACTGGGAGCATCGACTATTCAATCTCCTGGGGGAACTAGAGCCAGCTTTTGAACACTTCACCAAGTTACCCTGCTTGTCGATCTGTATTCACTCTAGCTTTGGACTTCCCAATGGTTATCCCATCACCCAACACCTGGGTATAGCCTTCTTGGGCCAAACTGGCCTTTCTTAGCCAAATTGGCTCCACTGGAGTCCTCCCCCTGCTATACTTTTGGAGCTCACCAAACCCCCTAGGGTCTGGGAGATGAACGCTTTGGGCTTTCACCCTCTTAGACTTGAACTTGGACTCAGACTCAGACTCGGACTCGGTCTCGAACTTGGGCTTGGGCTCGGTCTCGGACTCAGGCTTGGGCTCGGTCTCGGCCTCAGCCTCGGTCTCAGTTTCGGTCCTATTCTCGGTCTCAGTCTCGGTCTCAGTCTCAGTCTCGACTTCGGACTCCATCTTGGGTCCTTCTTGGACTCCATCTTGAACTCCATCTCAGACTCCATCTCGGACTCCATCTCGGACTCCATCTCAGGTCCATCTCGGACTCCATCTCGGGTCCATCTCGGACTCCATCTCGATCCACCTCAGACTCCATCTCGGACTCCATTTCGAGTCCATCTCGAACTCCATCTCGGACTCCATCTCGGACTCCACCCAAGATGGAGTCCGAGATGGATCCGAGATAGAGTCCGAGATGGACTGAGATGGAGTCCGAGATGGACCCGAGGTGCCATCTCAGTCCATCTCGGGCTTTTCCATGTTTCATGTGTCGGTCCTCTTGTGTCTCTTTTCTAGAGACTCATTTATTACTCACTTCATGTTTGTTCCTCGAGCACTTCATTGGGAGTTCCACTCCCACTCTTGACCTTTCAAATCGGAGCTTTTAGTCCAAATGTTTTATACCATTTGGTTTTCACTTCGGCCACTACCACATGGCACCCTTTTGGCTCCACTTTGGAGCTTAGGGATTTGTGTCTCACACCTACTTCAAAGTGTATGAATGATGTGAAATAAGTTTTAAGCAAGGTATAATATTTTAGTTGTTTCGTTGATCATCTTTTTAATTATACTACAATATCAAAAGCATTGCTAAAGTTGTCAACATCATCTTTCATGTGGTCCATGAACTGTGGTAAGTGTTTACAAAATTTAAAGAATTGTTGACACCTCCATTTTTGGTATATCCTGACTACACTCAACATTTCATTTTGTGCGTGGATGCTTCTGATATCGATCTTAGAGGTGTATTGATGCAAGAGAGATTGTATGTGCTTAGTCAATGCCATCCTATTACATATATCAACTATACATTACATTTAGTGAAGGTGAATTAATCTACAATAGAGAAGGAATGTTTAGCAACAATTTGGGGTTTCAAGAAACTTCATGTATATTACATAGTTTTTAGACACTAATAAAATGTGATTATACTACATTTACTTCATTATTAAAATGGAAGAACTTGGTTGGTCATACTATTTAATAGGTTTTGAAGCTTTAGATATGATTTTGATGTTGTTCATCACTTAAGGAGTTCTATGCTGATGCTGATGCTTTTTCTCGAGCTCCTTTTCTTTCTTCGCTTTCTTCTCATATTTTTTATGAGCCTATTATTCTAGCATTTGTAGATTTTTTAGATAAGGATTCCATGCCATCGGTAGTTATTGTACTTGATATTCAGTGTTCACAAAGTGCAGAGCTAAATTTACCTTCTTTTAATAAAGTTTTTTAGGCTTAAAAGATTAAGTTGTAGATCCAAAAGCTTGAGGATAGGTTTGAGAATCTTGCATCACTTATTGATGACTTGTCATTTTAGCATTTACATTCTCAATATTGAGAATGTAACCTTCTTTATTTTATGGGGACAGATCCTAATAATCATTTATGGCTGGTGCTGCCATATTCTATGCACTTACAAACTTAGTTAGATTAGATACTAAAGGAAAAAATATAGCTACTAAGGATGAAAGCCATATTCAATAAAGAATAGAGAATGATGTGTTGAAGAGTGCTAAGAATTTTTATGTACAAACTCAGAAGAAGGAAGGAGATCAACCCAATCATCCTATTAATTGCCCATTAATCTGAAGAGTAAGAAATGGACAATTTATTCTTTATGCAAAAGAGGATGATCACTAATAATATCATGAGGCAATCTATGAAAACAAAAAATCTACTTATAAATAAGCTTAGCTAGTCGCTCTCTGTCAATTGTGTTTTGATATAGCAAGAAATTGCCATTTTGGAAAACCAATTGACCATAATAAAGACATTGTCAAATCCCTAAGAAGGTGGAATATTAGTAAGGAAATTCATAAAGATATATTTTCAAGGTTCTTATGCTAAGCTTCAAAGGGGTCTATAATTGCAAATAGGTCCTTATTGAAAACATCATAATTTATCTTTACAATTTTTATTTCTGAAAGTGGAAAGTAATTAGGTGAATTTTCTATTTGGTCCCTCTTGCAACAACACAATATCCAAACCAAAATTTGAAATATCTACCTCAACAAAATACTACTTTATTTTGTTTGAATGAATAAAAACTAGAGAGAATGTAAATGTAAATTTAAGAAGGCTAAAAGAAGTCTAAGTAGCAAAAGACCACATAAAAAAGACATCTTCTATAATGAGTTACATCAGGAGTGTGATTTTAGAGGTTTGAATAAAGTACCAATAAAACTTCATAAATCCAAAGAAATATTAGACATCATAAATAGAAATTGAGTATTGCCACTCAAGAATAATAGAAACTTACTCTTGATCAATATCATTGAACATGCTAGTGAAGTGTTGAACAAAGAGATCAAAATTTTAAAGAATATAAGAAAAGATCTAATCAATCCTATATAAGAAGTCAGGGTGGAATATTGGCTAGGGTATATAGTGATTCAAAGCTTTACTTGACATGAAAACCATGGAATTCAAATTATGTACTATTGAACTTTGTTAGTATACCAATCTTTGGCTTGGAATGCTAAATAATTTGCAAGTGAAGTGTTGTATTGGATTGCTCTAATGTTTGATATGACTTCCCTAAAGTATCAAAATCCAATTAGAGTTGTAGTAGATGATTTGGGGAAGCTATTAATATCAAAATGTTCAAACTATCTGGAGCTCATTATTAAAAGAGAACAAAACTACTAATAAAATACTAAAATAATTTTAAAAAATGAATTTATATTGAACACTTTAAATACAAATTTTTACTTGTATAGAGGCTCTAGAAACTAATTTGGTCAACCCCAACCTAATCCAAAAAGTTAGTTTAAGTATGGGTGCATGCTAATTCTAGATGCCTATCGATGTGCATAGTAGGTCTTGAGTTTAAGTCCCATGAATAGAGGTTTAAGGTTCAATTCCAGTGGTGGTCATAGTGGTAAATATATGGCTTAATAAATAGAGATAAATAACAAACATGTGACAATAAATATATATAAATATATATTAAAGTTGTTATGATTATTATCACGTATATTCTCACAGTTTTTGGAAAAATTATTTTATATATTGTTTAAATAAACATTTAAGGGTAAAGATTGGTGCAAAAAAGGCTCTAAAAATTCTAAAATAAGTGTTACAGCAAAATTATCCTTAATTCTAACCACAAATTCCTGCTTGGCTGCTGGAGTGGTGCTCGTTCCTGCAAGCAGCTATAAAGAGGATTGTGCCTTCCAAAGGTGAAAAATAGAAGACATTATTTCAACACTCTGGATTCCTCAAGCATTATTACCTATACTTTAGCAACCACATGGCTACTCTCCATTACAAGTTACATCTTGGACTGTTTTTACCTTTCCCAGCTTTTTTGCTTCTTGGTGAACATGATGTGAAAACTACAAGCATACTATTCATTATAATGTGGTCAACAAACTTCCATAATGGTGTCAATTCTCACCCACCTCGTTATTGTACGAAAGAGATTCTAACAAAGATCCAACTTTTAAGCTTTTCTAGGTTACTAATCGCTTGAACTTCCAGGTTGACATTCTCAAGCTAACTTGGCATGATCACAACAACACAATGTGAGTGCAAATAGCCTCAAATGAACGATCCAAGCACTGACACTGCCACTGGATTTGCATATCTTTTCTCGGGTGATATATCAATCTTCGCATTTACAGTACGAATAAAGAAGCAGTACCCATTGAGTGATCCCCACCCAGCAAAAGGGAGATGCCGGACCACCCACAGATTCTGCCTTGCCCCAAGCCTTAAAGCATTCAAGGAAGACATTAGCAATTGCTGTTTTTCATTTTTTTATAAAAAAAACGATTTTTCTCTTTTATAGCTGACTCCTCCACTAGCTCCTTACTCCACCGGATAAGCCGGTCCGGCTGCTCTTCCTTGGAGTGTGGAAGAAGATGGAACAAGACCAACACCAGGTGAGTTCTTCTCCCAGCGGCAAGCTCTTTCTTCCACTGATCTAACTTTGTTCTTGTGTAGATCACTCAAGTAAACTCCTTCGTCTCCATCGTCTCTGGAGTCTTTGGGGTATCTTTCTCCCTTCTCTTATCTCACCCAGAAGCCCAGTAGCTCTCTCTCTCTCTCTCGATCGCTAGTGCACCATTCTCAGACTTGCTCTTTCAGGTAGTGATCAAGAATGGGTTATACCAAGCACTCTCTTCCCAGCTGGAGGCTCCTTTCAGACAAATCCCAGCCAACATGGTAACTTAAGTCGGTATAAGAGCTTCTCTATGATCCATGGTATCTGGCTTTGATCCTCAGCTGGGCTGCTTCCTGGTTGGATTCTTCACCAACAGCAACACATCTCTCCAAGTCGTGTTTGACAGTGTAACCAGTCTTGCGTTTTGGAACCAAGCTATGGCTACCAGCGCTCTCAACGGGAACTGGTTCTTCGCCCTCTCGAGTTTCATCACAGGTAACACTGCTATCAAGCTCATGGAAAGACTCTTGAGCACTGCAAACCATGTGTGCACATATGTAATGCAGGTCTCGAGCTCGCTTACATCTCTTACAAGATCGGCCTCGACACCGGTCTCATGTTCCACGACGCATTTGGATCGTCCACCGTCGCTCCCGAGAAGAAGAAGAAGAAGAAGATTTTTGCAGAGCCCAGCAAGTCCGTGGCCGCCACTTCTCTGTGGCTTCTCGTCGCAGTCCTGGCCGTGCTCGATCACCCAAGAAGAAAACTCTGGCTCGCCTGCCTCGTCGCGCCACTGGGAGCATGGACAAGGCACGCGCTCTCCGTGAAGCTCAACGATCATTGCAAGCTAGAGCTCTTTCCTTTGGGAACTTTGCTCGCTAATCTCTTATCCTCGCTCGCCACGCCAGGACTCCTTCTCGTAAAGATAACGGTACGTCCTAACGCGCTCTTTTGCAGTACACTGGGAAGTTCTCCCCCGCCACGGACACGGCGGTGTGATGTCTTCCTATATTCGCTGCTAAAATGTGTGCGACTCACTTTCTTGTTTTTCCAGGACCCAGCAGCGATCGTGCTAGTAGCAACAGTGGACGCTTTCCAGGGAGGATTCGTAGATAGCATGGCTACAATCTCCACAGTGATGGCCGAGGCACACTCTCTCCACAAGAACAGCGGCAAAGATAAAGCCTGGCGAGCATATCTTTACGTGCTGTTCACAATGGTGACTTGTTTTTGCGTGGTGGTGGCGTTAGTGGCGGCCATCACCTCCATCCCCACTAAGAGCTTCCCAGCCGTGCCCAACATCCAGGAATTCTCAAGCCCAAACGCCACTACTTCATCACTCTTCCTCGCTTAAGAGCTTCTCTTCACATAATATAGAAGTAGCCAAGTTTATATCGGTCAAAGGTCAACGAGAGCCGGTCCAGGGAGTTTGACCAGTGGTTCTTGGGTGATCTTCCAATGAATCTGGCGAGAATGACGAGAGTTTGTCCTCAAGGATCACGTCGATGGTGATTTCGTCGATCCTCTTCGGTCGCTCGGAAGCGATCCCAAGCTTCCACCGTACGAAGAAAGATATAGATGATCTTGCTCGGCGCGAAGAAACTTATGGATGACCTTGCTGGGCTCGCTAGAAGAAAGATATCGATGATCTTGCTTGGCTTGCTCATTTCTTCTTGCCGAATGTGTCCGCGCACGCTCGCTCCAGCATCACGATGAACTGGCTGACGATGTGGAAGATCTGGAACGCGGTGGCGTCGTCCTTCTTGGCATCGCCATCGAAGTAGACGTTGAGCTTCTTCACCGCCACCAGCACCGTGTCATACTCCTGCTTGACCCTCTCCACGCTGCTCACGGACCGTGACATAAACTTGGTCATCACGTCCAGGAACACGTCCTCCTCCTCCTCCTCCTCCTCCTCTCCCTTCTCCCGCGACGATGGTGCCGTGTCTCGCAACGCCGCCAGGCTCTTCTCGAGGCTTTGGAGCCCAGTAACCAGCTTGAACACGGAGTTCTTGAGCGTGTCGAAATCCTGCCCATCTGCCTTCCGGACGTTCTCCAGCTCCGCGTTGATCCCCAGGATGACTTGCGTGCCAATCTGCTTCAAGTCGTCTTGCATGTCCTGTCGCCCGGCTTTGTCGAGCTCCACCTGTTTGTTGTCGAGCATGAAGGAGGATGTACGAGCCGGGCTTTGCGCGGTGGGAGACTTGCGGGCCTGTGCGTTCTCCGCCCGGACTACCTCCTGGACGATGAAATGGAGTAATGAGGTCTTGCCATCGACGCTTTTGACGTCCGAGAGCTTCAGGAGCGAGTTGAGCTTGAAAGCCTGGGCATCGCCCCTGAATGTTCCCACGTTCATCCGGTTGCCAATTCTCAGGACGACTTGTAGTAGCTTCTTCAAGGACGGGCTGCCTTTGAGCTCAACGCATGCAGTCTGTAAGAGACGAAGATTGTTATTACAATGAGAAAGAGAAAAAACAAACGTACCTTGAAAATCTTTAGAGAATCCTCGACTTGCAAGAGCTCGTCCTCAAACTGCTCTTTGAACAGCATACTTTGAAGCCGTTGGAATGCGAAAGGAACTTCAATAATGCGCAAAAGGAATTGCTCCGCCAAGGTCAATTCGGCAAAGTTTCCCTTGAAATTCCGCAACCTGCGTTCCTCTTCATCGGTGGGTGCCATCTTCGTCAATGCCTCCAGTGATTCGACAGAGAGGCCGTCACCTGTTGCCAAAAGAGCATTAGTCTTTCATAATATAAATGCAACTAGGAAAAAGAAAAACACTAACCTTCCAACAATGCGTCTTTTACTTCTTCTTTTCTTAATCCTAGAGCACGAAGCTGAATTGCCATGGTATGAGCTTTCCTTGCGTCAATAAGCTGTTCTTTCTTTGGTTGAGCCGGCGCACGAGAAGCTCCTGCCAGCTTGCCACCAGCAGGCGGTGCAGCGAGGCCAAACAGAGACTCCATCATCTCTTCGTCAACTCTGTTGTACAATTCCAACGGTCAGATAACAGCAACAACGAAAACACTGCGCGTCTACTTACTCAAACGAGCCACTGATGTTGTTCCACACCATGGAGTGATCTGGATTGGCCTTGATCTTGTCCCAGAAAAGTGGTTTCAACTTCTGAGCTGTCTTGGCCTCTGAAGGTGAGGATGTCCCAACCGTAAGCTTTGGCTTGCCAAATGCAGGAGGGCCAGGAGGCGGCGCACCTGGCGGACCTGGAGGCGGTGGAGGGCCTCTCAAACCTGGCGGCGGCGGCGGACCGGGTGGTGGTGGCGGCCCCGGAGGCCTTGGACCCGGTGGAGGTGGTGGCGGAGCTCTCGAGCCTGGTGGTGGAGGTGGCCGAGGTGGCCCTGGAGGTGGTGGTGGTGGCGACGGACGCGGCCCAGGTGGTGGCGGTGGTGGTGATGGACGCGGGCCAGGAGGTGGCGGTGGTGGTGGTGGCGACGGACGCGGCCCAGGTGGTGGCGGTGGTGCTGGTGCTGGTGCTGGACGCGGGCCAGGAGGTGGCGGTGGTGGTGGTGGTGATGGACGTGGTCCAGGTGGTGGAGGTGGTGGTGGTGGTGATGGACGTGGTCCAGGTGGTGGAGGTGGCGGTGGTGGTGCTGGACGTGGAGGCCCTGGACGTGGTTGTAGCGGCCCCGGTGGTGGTGGAGGCGGAGGTGACGGTCCTGGCGGAGGTCCTCGTGGTGGTGGCACGGGTAGAGGAGGAGGAGGCGCCGCCGGCGGTAAGAAAGCCTGCATTCCTTCCCGGCTTTTTGTCACTTGATCGTATCTAGCAGCAGACGATCGCCTGTTTGATACTTGAGCCGGCAATGCGTGCATGGCTTGCTCCGCTTTCGAAACACCAGCCGTAGTCCCTTCTTCTTCGTCTGCCAAATCACTGTATCTCGAATTAGATCGAGCACCGGCTTGCTCTCGTTCCCCGGGTTGATCCAGATCATAGTCTCTAGAAAACCGAGTTCCAGCTTTCGGGCGATAGTGAGACGGAGGTGGCGGAAGGACCGCTGTCTTCGCTGGTGGAACCGAGTGTGAAGCACGTAGCACCGACACAGACGTAGGCGTGGACAGTCCGGAAGTATCAAACTGATTTCCCTTCGACGGAACTGGAGGAAGCCGGTGATGCGGAGGTGGCCGACGAGCTCCCTCGTCCGAATTCTCGCTCCAGTATAGACCCTTTGGTGGGATCAGCGGATTCACGTCCTTCTCGTTGCTGTGGCTGTTCTCATCCGGGACCAGCTTGGGCGTTCTAAACTTGCGGTAGCAGAAGAACAAAACTCCCACCACGATCAACGTAGCCACCACCGTAATGGGAACTGCCACGGCCACTGCCGCAGCACGCGAAGGGCTGGACGAGCTTGCGAGGCTTGTCACAGAGTTGGGAGGACTTGCCTGTGAGAACGATCGAGTACCTGGCATAGCTGGAGCCGGCGGAGGTACACGGCCTGGAATGCTGGCTTCGTCTAAGCCGTCACCGCTTGAGGATGGAGCTGGAGCTGGCGATACCGCATCGTCTTGTCCGAAAGGCCATCTAACGAATGGGACTTTGAGCCTTCGATTGACCTGGCAAGAAAGAGCAGATCAAACGCGCATTCTCTAGAGAGAGACTAAGAACAAGGAAGACAATTATTATATCTCGGGAACACATACCTCGACTGTTCTTAGGAAATTCCAGCGCAGCGAAGCTCCCTCGGCAACCGTGGCCTCGCAATTCACTGCTCTAGCATCACATTCTTTGCCGATCGAAGCCGCTGCCGCGTGAGCGATCGATAGAACCACGGCGACGAGAAATATCGCCCAGACTCTGTCCCTGTCCATCAATCCCTGCTAGAAACCCCTTGGCGAGGCGAAATCTCATCGAAAACCCTAAGCCGCAAGCCGCCTTGACAGCAGCGTTGAATCGGTCGCTGGCGCGCGCGATGAATGAGCCCCTCCAGAGATCTAGGAAGATTGGCGAGAGAAAGCTCTCTTCTAGAAAAACCAAGAAACCCTCGTATCTTACGAGCTTCCTCCGTGTAGACCAGGCCAGCCGAGAAGGAGCCGTTGGCCTCTTTTGACATTAAAGAGTCGCCGGTTCGAATCCGGTCAAGCAAAAACGCCACACAACGGTAGTCTTGGAGCGTTAAAATTCGTTAAGATTGGAGAGAAGCTCCAAACTAATGGGAGTTTCCCCAGTGATCGATTGTCAGTTCTTCTGTCAACGAGGAACTCTCATTAAATTCGATGGATGGAGTCTCCTTGTTTTGTTTCGTCCATAAGAGTGTTTCACGAGCGAACGAAACAAAAAAAAACGCTAGCTTACCATTTCTCGTGATGAGTTGAGCTAAGATCTGTCCTTGACAACGCGGAGCAGTCGTGTAAGATCAGAGACTAGAAAGAAAGAGTAAAGCTGAGAGTAATGGAGTAGCATAGAGAGAACCTGTTTGTTCTTGTCAAATCTCGTACAAACGAGGATAAGTTCCTCTCCACCCAAAACTTATCCTACAGGGATTGCAAAAGCTCGTTAGAATGTGGAGCTGTGAGAGCGGCAAAATTCCAGAACAGAAAGAAAAACACTAGTTTTGTTTACCATTTCTCGTGATGAGTTGAGCTAAGATCTGTTCTTGACAACGCGGAGATTTTGGTAGCAGTCGTGTAAGACCAAAGACTGGAAAGAAAGAGTAAAATGGAGTAGCATTAGAGAATCACCTCACAAAGGAGGATAAGTTCCTCTCCACCCAAGGGATTGCAAAAGCTCGTTAGAATGTGGAGCTGTGAGAGCGGCAAAATTCCAGAAAAGAAAAAACGCTAGTTTTGTTTACCATTTCTCGTGATGAGTTGAGCTGAGATCTGTTCTTGACAACGCGGAGATTTTGGTAGCAGTCGTGTAAGACCAAAGACTGGAAGAAAGAGTAAAGCTGAGATTAATGGAGTAGCATTAGAAAGAGTACCTGTTTGTTTTTCTCAAATCACCTCATAAACGAGGACACCATCATCTCCACCCAAAACTTATCATCAAGGATTTTCCTGCAGGGATTGGAAAAACTCGTTAGAATGCGGAGCTGTGAGAGCGGCAAAAATTCCAGAAACCAGGAAAACAGCACTGGGCCAGCGCACACCTGAAACAAATCCGAGAGCCCGCATCACACTAGAAAAACCAAGACAATGCTTACGAAGTTGAGCCTTTGGCGATTGTCACTACAAAATCTTCATGAACAACACTGTCGCTGCAATGACAAAACTAGGAAAAGAGAAAAGAAAAACTTGGGACACAAAGTCAACAAAAACAGGACACGCACGAAATAGATAAAACTCCAATTGAAGCGATTACAGCAATAGCACAAGACAATGCAGTTTGCCAAGCAAACTAAATGCTGGTATGATACAAGTCAAGGGATTGCAACGATAATTTGCTCACAGGATACAAAACACTGCCCACCTTAGCTGATAGTCGGGTTCTTGTCAGCCAAACTTGGTGTGACTGTCAATCAACAAACCACTGCAAAACAAAGAACTGCGCGTCAGCCAGCTTCTGTCTGTTATTTGCTTACCTTTCGCTTACCTTCACAAACGTTTTTCTCAATATGGCTTGTTTGGTTTGTTGTCTCGCTTGAGCTGAACTTTCAGCCGCTTTCCACTTAATTGAAACCCGTTCATGACATTGATGGCTGATTGAGCAGCCTCTGGCGAGTCATAGCTGACGAATCCTACAAAAGACGCACAGGGAGGATTTAGTAAACATCGCAGCGAAGAACAAGGCTCATTACCAAAACACTTGCTGATTCCGGTCGTTTTGTCGACAAATACTTTGGCGCTGATTACGTTTCCAAAAGACGCAAATGCTGTGGAGAGTTCTGAATCACCAAACTCGGCAGGAATGTGGTAGATAAACAGATTTGCCCCCGGTGGACCTGGAAAACAAAAAAATAGAGAAAACAATTTGGAACTCTAGAAAAACAAAAACAAACAACAAGCCGAGAAAAGTACCTTCAGCTTGAGGAGTAATGCTGGCTTTAGCTTTTGGAGCGACTGGAGTGGAGTTATAGCCGACAACGGCTGTAGTAGTGGCACCCGCATATGCTTGTCCCAGCAAAGCTCCTTGATATGCTAATGGATATTGTCGTCCAGCAACGTTGGAGAAAGCACTGTTTACATATCCAGCAGGCTGAACAGGAGTCAAAACCCCCGATCCTATGTCGGAGAGTGTTCCTGGTAGAGATTGAGTGGTTCCTGTTGTCATTCCAGAGATTAGTGGCTGGTTCTGAAGGCTAGAGGCTGGGTAAGGAACAATCCCGTATGTTGAAGCCTGTAGGTGGATTGTGAAACGTAGAGAATATATGAATGGACACATACCTGATACGCAAATCCATTAAACTGAGGTGTCGCCAATGGAAGAGGTCCGAATGACGCAGACGCAGGTTGCTGTGGCAAAGGAGCGGCCAAAGCACCGTTCGTTGCAGGAGATAGCGTTTGAGACTTTTGCATCTTTCGAGCTTGCCTTTCTTTCTCCGTGTCGGCCCATTTCACCACCAAGGCAGAAGACGCACCCTGAAAGCGCTGAATATAATATACCATCACGACAACTTCTCAAGCTACCTCCATTCTGTAAATTCCGTTCAAGGCCTCCACAGCACCGGCGGCCTCCTCCCTCGTCTCATACTTCAAAAACGCGCAAGCTGGGAATCGAGAAGCAACGATGATATCAGCTAAAGTCCCAAGAGCACGAGTAAAACTTGCCTTTAGCAGTTTGCTGGGAACCTTTGATGACTTGTAGCTCCTTGATGTTTCCATACTCCGAGAACACATCACGGACTTCGGCCTCCGTGACGGATTTTGGTAGCATTCCAATGAAGAGTTTGTGCTCTGAGAAGACCAGAACTATAAGTCAAGTGTGGAAGAAAAGCACGAGCGGGAAAAACAGTACCTAAACGCTCCAGCTCGCCGTCAGCATATTTTACTTGCATCGGACTGTTCATCTACTCGACCAAAATCTGGAAATCGACTTAAAAACCGGACAAGAAAGAAAGAAAAAAAATCCATTACCGGAGAGATGGTTTTCTTGTTGTGGAACAAATCAATGGCATTGTCAGCCTCAGATCTCGAGCTGTAAGTAAGGAAGCAGCAGCCTGGAAGAAGAAGAAAAATCGATAAGATCTCAGCCAAAACACAGCAAAAGATAGAGAAAAGATTCCCAAATGCGATGAAACAAACGAGACAAAGCTCTCGAAGCTAAACAAGAATTTCTAGCATGACACTAGCTCCTAGGCTAGAGATTTTACCTCGCGATTGCTTGGTGGACTTGTCCTTGATGATGTTGATGTCAAACACGGCTCCCGCCTCCTCAAAGATTGGAAGGAGCTCCTCCTGCGTCAAATGCTTGGGAATCTGACCTACAAAGAGCTTCACGGCGTCGGGCGCCTTGCTCTTGACAGCCATAGCCAGGGCCATGCAAATGCGAGGCTTCAAAGCAGCAAATGCCCGCCATTACCCGCCATAGATCCGTCGCGACACCGCCATTCCATTCCGGAATATGCCAACCGATGGATTCCGATTCCGGCCGCGAGGCGACGAGATGGACGGCCCCGATGGCGGCGAAAATCCACCACAAACGCACAAGCACTATTAGGCGGCAAAGCGTCTGGGCAAATTCTAGGGCTCTTGGGAGACCATGGCGTCGTTGTGCCCCAATTTCTCGTGCTCTCGGCTGCGATTTCCAGCTCGAAGGAGAAGAGGGACGATTCCCGTGGCAGCGATTGCGCAGCAGCAGCCGCCAGGTACCTGCATTGTGGGAATTTTTTCTCTCGCTGCCGAGATTGATCTGGCGTGGATTCCAGCAGATAGGCTCTCAGCGCAGGAATTCTTTGAGGCATTCTTGCGAAGCCGCAGAGGGAATGTGGATTTTATTTCCAGAGCGTCGGATATATTGTGGAAGAAGGAGCTCCAGGAAGAGGATGAGGCCAAGCTGGAACAAATCAGGACTCGTCTTGCAGAGAAACAAAAGGCAAGTGCTCCTCTCTATGACGTGCTGTCCTCTGATTTTTTTCCTTTCAAAGACGGACGATGATTCTTCCGAGAGTGGTGGATTTCTAAGGTTAAGTCAGGCCAAGAATTGGAGTTTGGGCCTGGATTCTACTGCTCCTGCGAATTATAACCAGAAGCTACTCGTGAGTATATCATTGTCACCAAATTATCCAGGCTTTGAAAGTTCTCTTTCAGGAAGCTGAGAAGGAAAGAGATGATTTTCGTCGTAAATGCCTGCTGGATTACGAAGCAGTAAGAGTGTCTCTCATTTGGTTTTACTTGTTGTAATGTGTGTTTTTGTAGTTGAAACGGGAGCTTTCGCTTGTAACACTTGGCGTTGGACTCGTGACTGGTGTCTATTGTCTCGCTTTTTTATCAACCGAGGTGTGTCAATCTCCTTCGTTTTCGTACTGTTAAGATATTTTGTGATTTTCAGACTGCTGTCAGCTATGAAATCGGTGTGTTTGGAAGGTAAAAATTTCATCTCATCTTTAACGTTCCTCGACTCAATCTAGTCCTTCAGCTGGGTCTACTTGCAATTGCTTGCGAATCAAGTTGACAAGACGTCAGAACTGACGGTGCCACAGATTTTCACACAAAGGAAGAGAAGAAAGACGTAAGCAAGGACGTCTAAAGTTTTCTTGTTACAACTCTGTAGGTTGTGTCATGCAGGATTGGATTCACTAGCAATGACCTCAGAGACTCCGTGGAGAAGAACTTGCAAGGCATTCGTTTTGCTCTATCGTCCCCACGGTTGCTACTGGTGGTTGCATTTTATGGACTATGGCTGGGCTCTTCTCAGTTATGCCAAGATCTTCCCTTCAAACTGGAGGTATGATCCTCGATTACTTCCTGTGTGAAAGCTAAAAGGCTTTGTTATCAGATTGCTCCCATGCTGCTCGGCTTTTTTGCTTATAAAGCTGCTGCTCTTGTCCAAGCCTATCGTGACAACAAGGACCTCCTCATCACATTTCCAGCCAACAGCAGTGACAAAGAAGAGCTCGACAGAGAAGATGGCTATTAAATTCGTCGCCAGGTACATGTGTTGATCCAAAAGTTGAAAAAGTTTTGATGGGCTGGTTTTCGACACTATCAGAACCACGTAGATGAGAGTCAAGAGAAGCTACTGCACGTCCACTCGAGAGACCCAAGACTACTTCGCCAAACTCCTTCGGAGCTACTGCGTCACGAAAAATGTTTCCATGGCCAAGCGCGTCCACAATCAAATGCTGGAGAGCCCCTACAGGCACGACACCTTCCTCAGCAATCTTCTCATCAGAGTTTACAGCGAGTGTGGCAAGCTGGACGAAGCCAAGCTCGTCTTCGACGGGATTCCCAGGCAAAACGACTACTCTTACAACTTCATGGTCCACGCTTACATTCTCAACGGGTCCCTGGATCTCGCCAAGCAGCTGTTTGATCGAATTCCAACGCCACCGTCGAGCTTCTGCTGGGACATCCTCCTCACGGCATTTGCCAGGTCCGGGGATTTGGATCAAGCCAAGCTCCTTTTCGACTCCATGCCGTCCAGAGGCCTGCTAGCATGGACCAAGCTCATGCAATCCAGCGCAAGGAACAACGACCTCGCCCAAGCGACCGAGATCTTCGGGAGAATGCCCGAGAGAGACGTTCTCTCGTGGACGGTGATGGTGTTGGCATTCGCCCAAAACGGAGACCTGGAGGTGGCGTGGAGCTCCTTCCTAGAGATGCCCGAGAGAGACATCGTCCCGTGGACAGGGATCCTCCAAGGCTTCGTCGACACGGGCCAGCCGGACGAGGCCAAGAGCGTCTTCGATCGAATGCCACAGCAGGACGTGGTGTGCTGGTCCGCGATGCTCCAAGCGCAGGCCAGGAACGATCGAGTCGACCAAGCCAAGCTCCTCTTCGACCGCTTCCCGCAGCTCAACGTCGTGTCCTGGACCGCGATGCTGGGAGGCTACGCACACTCCGGCCGGATCCGCGAGGCCGAGCTCCTCTTCCGGAAGATGCCGCAGCACGACGCGATCTCTCGCGTCGCGATCATGAACGGCTACGCGGAGCACGGCCGACTGGATCTCGCCATCGCCATGTTCCACTCCAAGCCGGAGCGCGACATGGGCGACTACATCACGATGCTCTCGGCGCTGGCGGAGACGAAGAGGCTGAAAGACGCGAGAGCTCTGCTGGAGAAGATGCCCGAGCAAAGCCCAGTGGCGTGGACGATCGTTCTAGCGTCGTATGCCCAAGCCGGGCATATGTACGAGGCGCGGGAGCTCTACGTCGCCATGCCTGCCAAGAATGTGGTGGCCTCCACGGCCATGGTCCAGGGATATGCCCAAGGCGGGCATATCAGAGACTGCGAGGAGCTCTTCTTCGAAACCATGGCCGAGCGCGACTCCATGGCTTGGAACTCTCTCCTCGGCGCCTACAGCCAAAATGGTCTGGCCAGCAACGCCGAAGCAGTCTTCTCGAGGATCCCGCAGTATGATTCGTGCTCCTGGAACCTGGTGATCCAAGTCCACGCCGAGGCCGGGGATATGGACCGAGCTGGTGTGTTCTTCGCGAGAATGCCTGGGCGGTGCGTGGTGTCCTGGAACACGGTCATGGCGGGCTACGTCCGGAGTGGAAGGATGGAAGACGCGAGCTCGGTGCTGGAGAGGATGAGCCACTGCAGCTTGATCTCGTGGAACACGATGCTGGGGGGCTTCGCACAGAGCAAGATGGTGGCTGAGGCGAGAGCGTTGTTCCAGACGATGCCGGTCCAGGATATCTTCTCGTGGAACGCGATGGTGGCGGCGCACGCTCACGTCGGCCACCTCGCCGACGCGATGAGAACTTTCGAGGCGATGGCCAGCAAGAACCTCTTCTCCTGGACGATCCTCATTGCCGGGTACGCGCTGGCGGGGCACCAGAGCTCGGCCATCTCGCTCTTCCAGTCGATGCAGCTCGAGGGAGAGAGGCCGGATGGCATCGTCTTCATGTGTGTCATTCACGCGTGTAGCCACCTCGGGCTGGTCGAGGAGGCCCTGCAGAACTTCTACCAGATGAGAGCCGACTATCAGATCCAACCTGACGAGAATCACTTCTACTGCATGGTCGATCTCTTTGCGAGAGCCGGGCAGCAGCAGGACGCCCGAGAGCTGATCGAGAGCATGCCCTTCGTCCCCGACAGCTTGGCGTGGCAGACACTCCTCGGTTCATGCAAAGTTTCTCGTGATATCCAGCTCGGGAAGCACGCTGCAAACCAGGCATCAGTCATAAGTCCGGAGAAGGCTGCGACTTACGTGCTGCTGTCCAATATCTGCGGCACGAATCGAAAGGAAGAGGTCACTACTGCTGCAGCACTTCCTTGAGAACTCTTCCTATTCTCTCGGACATGTGTTGCTCGAGAAATTGCTCCTGGACGCGCTTGTAGCCCGCTTCACCCATGCGAGCTCTCAACTTTGGATCTCGAAAGAGGTTGATGATGTTGGAGGCTAAGTCGGGAACACCTTCCTTGCCAACTTGGTGAAGGAAACCAGTGGATCCGTCCACGACGATCTCCGTGGTTCCACCGGCAGCAGTACCCTGTGAAGGCAAATGTTGATCAGCCGATTGATTCATTCGCACAGCCGATGCGATAGACTACCAGAATGGGAAGCTTGAATGCCATCGCTTCGATTGAAATTCTTCCAAAGCACTCTCCTCGTGCCTGGACAATCGTCAAGAAACAAAAGGTTTGAGTACACGTCTTTCTTGCACTGACTAACCTGAGAGTTTTGGACGAGAACGTCTGACGCAGCAAGATATGGAACCACATTCATCGTCTTGTTCACAAATCGAACTACGTGCTGCATGCCGTTCTTCTCGACAAGCTCTCGCAGCTCCGCTTCAAACTTTGGCTGCCCGATCCAGTCGCTTCCCACTATAACAGCGTAAATCCCAGTACTAGACCCCAGAGTTTTCAAGGCCTGAGCGAATGCCTTGAGAAAGAGGTCCTGGCCTTTGCCTCTGGAAACACCTGCAGTACAAACAAACTAAGACTTTCGTGCTCTTAAATCTTTGGCTAGAGCTTACTGTTGATCGCGGAGAACATAACATCGCGGTCCGAAATACCGAGCGATTCTCTTACATGCTGACGGAGCAAATGACGAGCGAGAGGATTTTCCGCTGCTTCCGTGAGATCTTTGCTATTTCCCAGATGCACGACGTGGACCTTTGGGATCTTTATCCTGGAGAACTAAAACGATTTGTCACACACTTTCATATCGAAAGAAGATTTTTTTTTCCTTACCCGAGACGTTGTTGTGTCCGGTTCTTCCAATACTCGGCCGTGGCATGAGAGTCGATCATCACTGCGGCCACCTCGGGCATATGTTTGACGTAATTGAGCGTGAAGTAGTGACCACGCATCTCGTGAATCCACCACAAAACTTTGGGAAGAACTCGCTGCTGATCCGACTCCTTGAGCGTAGAATCTATCCACTTCCCCGCAACGGCAGTGTTGAGGACAACCAAGTCCGAATCAACCGCTGCGCGGACAGTCTCTTCTCCTTTTGCTGGAACCAGCTGACAAAGAATCAATTCACTCAAGAACAAGAGTAGAAGCAAAAAACTAAGCTCTTCACTCACCAGGATTCCTTTGTTTTGTAATCTCTGCTCGAGATTGTCAGTAACTTCACTCCCAGCACCATCTCTCTTGTTGATAGTCATCCACTGGACAGTGGCGCCAGCGTTTTTGAGAAGCACAGCGAGCTCCATGAGCAACAAAGGACCCCCTACAAACAAATCCAATGAAGACGGGAAGAGAAAGCTAAGAGAGAAATACCTGTGAGGGTGAGCTCGTGAGAGACAAGCACCACATTCTTTCCCCGCATAAAATGCAGGCCATGCGGAGGAGCATCGCGGCGATCAACGCCAGAAATCCCAGCAGCCGGATGCCTCACACTGTAGCTCCCCACCAAGAGCCCTATCCCGGCGAGAAATCCAAATGCCGCAACGCCGAGCTTGAGCAGCGAGCGCAATCCCGCCTTGCGCTTGCCCGGAATCGCTCCTCCCATTCCCGATCATCGATCGTCCTCGCCCTAAAGAACAAAGAAAAGATCTGCAATCCTGACCGTCCAAACTCAACGTTGGCGATTACGCCAAGTGGCGACCATGATATAAGATCTTTTTAAATGGCGGGAATGGAAATGGAAGACTTTGGGCTCGAATCGCGCGGTCTTTGTATCTATCCACACACCTCCACGCTATATAAATACCCCATCTCTCACAATCCCTCCACACACACACTCTAGAGCTCCTTTCAAGTTCCTTCGCTTTGTCTCCTTTCTTCTCCAAATCCCTACCTAGACTTCCAATCAATCGATTGATCATGGCAAGCAGCAAGACTCGATTGGTGTGCCTGGGCCTTGTTGTGATGTTTGTGATGCTCCTGGCGGTGGGAGTGGAAGTCGGGGGCATCACCAAGGCGGTAGCGCAACGCTGCCGTGGAGGATGGTACTGGAATGGATTCCGCTGCGTGCAATGCAATTGGTACTGGTATGACAACAGCTGCCATCGATGCCAGCGCGGGTGGCGCTGGAATGGCAGCCGCTGCAGCCGCTGAAGAATCGCCAAAGTTTGTGAGTGATATCTTTGGGGGAGAGCAAGTCATAGAATAAGAGTGTGGCTTCGAAACGAGAATGTTTTGGAGTCCTGTAGAATCTTGTGTGAGATCTATTCAAGTTTTTGAGATGTACAGGCCCTGAGACTGTCAATGATAATTATGGAGTGTTTTCGGGAAAAAAGTTGTTGCTGTGTAACGTTCGCAATGTATGGATTTTTAATATATGGGCAGCCAAAAAACGTTAAACAGCTGTGCACAGAATGACAAAAAATATATATAGATATATACTAATAAACAAAGAATGCCAACTATTGAGATTGAAGCAGAGAATCTGGTTACAGAAATCTGGAGTAAAGCGTCTGGCTTTTGGTACCATTATAGTGAGTGTACATACAAGAGTTCCAAGTCTTTGGTTAAGTCAAATTATAATTTTTATATATTTATATATATATATATATATATGTATATATGTATATATATGTATATATATGTATGTATATATATATGTATGTATATATATATGTATGTATGTGTATATGTATGTATGTATATATATTACTAATTTTGGAAAATCTATTCCATATGACTCAGACAAATTTGTCGTCGAATCTGATCTCTACAGCAATCAATATAAGTTGCCTGGTCGTGTCTTCTTTTCTCAAGATCCAACTCCAGGTTATATGATTTTAACTCTTTAGGATATTGTTTCTTGTTCATTCAGTGGCACTGAAGTCTATAGCGATGGGGATGGACAAGATTCGTGTGGCTGGCCTTGGGCTCATCCGCATGTTTGTGTTGCTCCTGGTAATGGGCGTCGACGTGGGAGGAATCGCAAGCATGCGGCCCAGCGCTGCCAGTGGGGTGGTATCGGTATGACAACACCGTTGCCAGAGGGGTTGGAACTGGCGCAACTGAAACCTTGAAGCAAACTGAAGCCCAAGTTAAGAATCAACAGTAATTGCCTTTGATCATGCTGCAGTGCCAGGGTCTGGAACTTGTGATGCATGACCTTGCGTCCAGCAATGATATATATAAATTGTCCAGGCCTTGAAAGTCAAAGATGTATTTTTCATTTAGAGTTTACTTGATTTTGACTCCAGGCGCTTCTCTTGGGTGCCATTTTACTTCTTTTGTTGTGTTGCTTGGACTTTGTTCTTCTTGATTTGCAAACTCGAAGATTAGCCCTTTCATGTTGGGACTGGAACTAAGAGACAAGGCCAGCGATTGAATCCACACCAGTCAACGTGATTTTCTTTGCCGAGCTGGACTTTCAAGAAGTTGAGAGCTCGCAAAATGAAGCCGGCCACGAACGCATTCTCGACCTAATGCGTGAGCGAACGTTTTCTCGAGCAACATTATCCGGAAGAATTTCAAGAAAGTCAGAGGAACTCTTCCTTTTTGATTCGGTGCCACAGATAATAGGCAAGTAGCAGGCTTCGAATTCCCTGGATGACTGATGCCTGGGAGGCATGCTCTTGATCAGAAGCGTACCCATCTCGATCAGTAGAAGTGATTTTAGACACTCCCACCTATAAATTATTTTGCTCCTGCCACGGCTGGCAACGACTTAGCATATTCCCTCGTGAGATTAATGCATGACATAATGCTTGCTCGGTTGTAGTATATAGACACGCCTCTCAAGAGAGGTTTCCCACTTTCTTCTAAACATCATCCAGATCCAGAAGGTCAAAGCTCGTTCTTTGCACTCTCAGTACTTAGGCTTCTAAGCACTAAGCTTGCTATGGCGATAGGCATGATTTGGTTTGGGCTTGTTGTCATGTTTGTGATGATGCTGCTGGCCATGGGAGTGGGCGGAGGAGTTGCAAAGGTTGCTGCCCAGCGCTGCCAGAGAGGACGGTATTGGTATGACAATAGTTGCCACCGTTTCCAGAAAAACTGGCATCGGTATGGAAGCTGCTGTCGATGCCAGAATGATTTGAGCCGGAATGGCCACTGCGGGCGAAACTGAGATTGGGCAAATCTGGTAAGAAATCATGCCAAAAAAAAAAACTAAATAGAATAAAGTGATGAGGGCTCTCACTGGGGAATGTGATTTTCTTTACCGAGCTTTTATGGTACCAGGATGTCCAGTCCAGAGATTTCTCGAGCAACATTATAGGTCAAGTCGCTGAGGTAATGGAGAAGACTTTTATAATTCGAATAGTGTTTCTGGTGATCGACTAGCTCCAATATTTTGTTGAAGTCAATATAGAACAGGTTAGTAACCATTTCATGACAGTGTCGAGCTACGATTTGACTAACAGACTTCGTCAGATCGGTATGAACGGAAGAAAACAAAATTGGAAAGCTTTTTTTCCGTATTACCGCGTGGTACTATGTACTAGCCAGAGAATTCGAAGCCTGCTACTTGTCCATTATCTGTGGTACTATTATCGGAACCAATTTGTCAACGAATCTGATCCTTCCCAAGACCAAGTCTCCAACTCTAATGCGGCGTGCGTCCGCCAAAAATGCACGTAGAAATTTGCTCGGTCGTTGCAAGGGCGACTATATACTACCTCACCAAAATAAATATTTACTGTCATGTTGGTGATGTTATGTCTATGACCTTCATTTGTTCTCACTTCAAGTGTAACTAGGACCAGATCCCTTTTGCTACTGCAAGTAAGAAGTCATGGGGGACCCTGCAAAGGCAAACGAAGAACCCTAAAATTTCCATGTTAGAAATACGGTTGGGATTTCTGATGTTTTCCGCCATCATGGGTGACCTAGATTCTATATCTGGGGAGAAGCAAAGACAAAGTCCTCTGTCATTTCACGATTGGGGAAGAACGCCGACTGCTATGCTGCCAAGAGCGAGCGTAAAGCCAACTACAAACTTTTGTTTGGGAATGTGCTATTTAAGCACGAGGACAATGGTGATTAGCAAGACACAGCTGTGGCCATAATTGTAAGAGGTTCAATTGAGGGGTTTTTGTGATTATTAAATCCTAATTAAAATAAAACGATAAGGTGTTTGTGCTGTTTAATTTCATCTGGAGTAGATTAGGCACTATGCACTGAGCTTTTCTTGGGTGGCAGTTCTGTGTTGTTATGTAGCAAACAGAACAGCAAGAATTATGTTACTTATCTTTTAGATTGTGGCGGTATTTGGCCGGCACTGGTGTTTGGATAAGATAAGAATCGCCTGGTCTGCAAGCTCCAAAACCCAATCAAGCCAGGAGAGTCTGGTCTATGTGGTTTTGTCCTTTAAAGTTCACAAGAACGTACTAGAATAGTGGACACGAACGCATGTTGTACGAGAGAGGCCAAGTTGGAACAAACATATTACCAAAAATTATGAACAGAATTACACAGCTAGCCAATAGTCATATTCTTATTCTTTCGTTGGTCTAAGTCAAACAGTTTAAAAGTACACATTGGTGTCTTCTCGACAAGCTCTCGCAGTTCCGCTTCAAACTTTGGCTGCCCGATCCAGTCGCTTCCGACTGTAACAGCGTAAATTCCAGCACTAGACCCTAGAGTTTTCGGCCTGCCTTGAGAAAGAGGTCCTGGCCTTCGCCTCTGGAAATACCTGCAATACACGTAAATTCAGACTTTCATGCTTAAAAGTTTAAGTAGAGCTTACTGTTGATCGCGGAGAACATAACATCGCGGTCGAAATACTGAGCGATTCTCTTACATGCTGACGGAGCAAATGACGAGCGAGAGGAATTTGCGCTGCTTCCGTGAGATGTTTGCTATTTCCCAGATGCACCTTTGGGATCTTTATCCTGGAGAACTAAAAAGATTTATCACGCACTTTCATATCGTAAGATATCGAAAGAAGGCTCTATTCCTTACCCAAGATGCTGTTGTGTCCTGTTGTTCCAATACTCGGCTGTGGCATGAGAGTCTATCATCACTGCAGCAATCTCGGGCATACGTTGACATAATTGAGCGTGAAGTAGTGACCGGGAATCCACCACAGAACTTTGGGAGCGTAGAATCGATCCACTTGAGGAAAACGAAGTCCGAATCAACCGCTGCGCGGAGAGTCTCTTCTCCTTTTGCTGGAACCAAAAGAATCAATTCACTCAAGAACAAGACTAGGTAAGTTATTCATTCACCAGGATTCCTTAGATTTTCGGTAACTTCATCACTTTGATAGTAATCCACTGGACAGTGGCGCCAGTGTTTTGAGAAGCACAGCGATCTCCATGAGCAGAAAAGGACCCCTACAACAAAATACATCCTTAAGGAAACAAAAACTAAGAGAGAAATGTAAGCTCCTAAATTTGGATTTCCTAGGAAGTCACCCAACCCAGTACTATTCAAACCCAAAGATCCTTAACCAATTGGAAAAAGGGGTGCACTTTTGTTCATGGGCCCTTTCCCTCTATATTTGAACCTCATGGACCGTCTCTCGAGTCGTTCCCTTTAGTTGCTTACAATCCACTATGCTTCCCTGCAAGTTCACGAGGGCACTTACAATCCACTATGCTTCCCTGCAAGTTCACGCCCTCGTGAACGGAAGCTGAGAGCCTCGCTCCAGCCAGACGTCAATCAACATATGGTGCGATTCCCTTAGCCAACCAACAGAGTCGGACCTGAGACCGCTCTGATACCAAATGTAAGCTCTTAAATTTGGACTTCCCGGGAAGTCACCCAGCCCAGTACTATTCAAACCCAAGGACACTTAACCCCAAATATCCCAAGACCCTTAACCGATTGAAAAAAGGGGTGCACTCTTGTTCATAGGCCCTTTCCTTTTATATTTGAACCTCATGGACCGTCTCTCGAGTCGTTCCCTTTGGTTGCTTACAAGAAATACCTGTGAGAGTGAGCTCATGCGAGACAAGCACTCCGCGCATAAAATGTAGGCCATGCGGAGGAACATCCCACCGCTCCCTCACTCTTTCAACAAGAGCCCTAGAAATCCAAATGCTGCGAAGCCGAGCTTGACAAGCGATAGCAATCCTGCGCTGCGCTTGATCGTTCCTGATCATCGATCTAAAAAAAGAAAAAGATCTGCAATCATGACCGTCCAAAACTCAACGTTGGCGATTATGCCAAGTGGCGACCGATTTTAACAAATTCAAGAGTCTTTTCAAATGGTGGGCGCGAATTGTAATGAAAGACTTTGGCCTGGAACCGCGCGGTCTTTGTATCTATCCACACACTCTCGACGCTATATAAACAGCACATCTCTTACAATCCCCCACACACTCTCTAGAGCTCCTTTGTTCTTTCGCTTTGGTTTGCTCCTTCTTTCTTATCCAATTCCAATCGATCGATCGATCGATTGACCGATTGCTATGGCAAGCAGCAAGACTCGATTGGTGTGCCTGGGCCTGGTTGTGATGTTTGTGATGCTCCTGGCGGTGGGAGTGGAGGTCGGGGGGATCACCAAGGCGGTGGCGCAGCGCTGCCGCAGGGGATGGTACTGGAATGGATCTCGCTGCGTGCAATGCAATTGGTACTGGTATGACAACAGCTGCCATCGATGCCAGCGTGGGTGGCGCTGGAATGGCAGCCGTTGCGTCAATTAATGAAAGTTTGTGAGTGATCTCTGGGGCCTGCCAGCGAATGTCGAATGGGTGAAGAAGTACATAGAATAAAACTGTGGCTTCGAAACGAGAATGTTTTGGAGTCCTATAGAATCTTGTGTGAAATCTGCTCTGAGACTATCAATGATAAATATGGTCTGTTTTCTGGAAAGTTGTCAGCCACAATTAAAAGTGTATTTATACCTATATTACTGCCCTTTAATGAGCTTTTGGGGTGTGAAAAAGCCAATCTATGTTAACAAGTTTCTGCTAGCATTGTTCGCGGATAACTTTGCCGTTTGCTAGACTTGGTCTTGGAAGGATCAGATCCGCTGGCAATTTGGTTTTCTAAGTACGTAGTACTCTCGATAATACGGAAGTAAAGCTATTTGTCCTTCCACATCGACTTGACAAAGTCTGTCGTAGCTACACTGGTTAGCTAGCTCTGGATACATGTCTATATTATAATGTTGGTAGTGTTATATTGATCGTGAGCCAAGCTTAATCTTTAGAGATTAATAGAGAAAATATATTTCGCAGCTCAAACTATTCTAATCCCAGTTTGTCTGGCAACGGTGGCAGCCATTGGTCCATCGCCATTGCTGCCACTCTGCAAGAGAAAAGAACAAAAAACCATAATCAAATCAATACAAGTTTCCTTTCAGAAGATCTTGGATTCTTGTTCTTTTCGAGTATAGAGCAAAGCAAGACTCAACTGGTTTGCCTGGTTTGCCTTGTTCGCCTTGCCATGTTTGTGGCCATGGGAATGGACATGCGAGGAATCGCAAAGGTTGCTGCCAAGCGCTGCCAGTGGTACTGGTATGACAATGGTTGTTACCGGTGCCCGAAAAGCTGGTATTGGTATGGCGGAAGTTGCCACTGATGCCAGAGATCCTGCTACTTGCGTGATTATCTGTGGCACCGAATCCAAACGGAACAAAAGAGGTCCTCCGACTATCTCGAACCTAATGTTGCTCGATAATGCGTTCGTAGCCGGCTTCATCATGCGAGTTACTTCCACCTGCAAATCATGTGGTTGTCTCACAACATGGGTTCCATTCCCAACACGAAGATAGCCATTGATCCAAAAAGCTTAATTTTCTAGTTTGTAAACCAAGAAGAAAGGTTGCTAGACGATGAGGAAGTATTGCCACGGGAGCTCAAAACTCTCGAGATGAAGCAAAAAAAGAAAAAACAAAAAAACAAAAAGAGAAAGAAAAAAACAAAAATATATTTTATTTGTTCCACACAAACATGTTACCAGTCCGGTGTCTTTTTATTCTTGTTTCCAGACCCTGGCAATGCACTCATAGAGATTACGAGTTGAATTGAGAATTGCGCTTACCCCTTAAAAGCAGAGGCTTCAGCAGCGATTTTTGCGCCCCCTCGGGCAACGGTGGCAACCATTGTCATACCAATACCACCCCGACTTGCAGCGCTGGGCAGCAGCGTTTGCGATTCCTCCCACGTCCACTCCCATAATCACGAGCAACACAAACATGGCAACAAGCCCAAGGCAAGCCAGACGAATTTTGTCCATCGCCATTGCTGCCACTCTAAGAGTAAAACCTGTGGATTATAAGAGAAGTGTAAGTGTGGTGATTTCGTCTTGATAGAGTGAGGCGCGTTATATATACGCCCCCTGCAACGACCGAGCAATCGTGTTAGCTAGACTTAGTCTGGAAAAGAGATCAGATTCAAATCTGCCTCCTGGGTACTACCTCCTGGGTGCTACTGTGTACACGTCGAGACTTAGATAAGTCCGAATTGTAGCTGGACCAGATCCTACCTCTGAACACACTGCTACTGCAAGTAAAAAGAACAAGGAGTCTCTGCGGATCCTCTGGATAGAAGAGGGAGTCTCTCTATAACAACCGAGCAAGTTTCCTCGTGGTTTTTTGGCAGCGGTTGACGCGCCGATTTTACTTGGAGACTTGGTCTTGGGAAGGATCAAATTCGTTGACAACTTGGTTTCCTAAGTACGACGATCCTTCTCGATTTGACGAAGTCTGTTAATAATATGGTAGTATATTATATTTACTTTAACAAAAGATTGGATCTAATCGATCACTGGGACGCAGATCGAGAGCATACCTTGTGTTTCCAACACTCTTTGAATTAAAAGTCTCTCGTGGCAAACCAACTTCTCCATTACCTCCGCGGCTTGACCTATAATACTTGACTTGGACCAAGGGAAAGAAGAAATATTGATAAGAATATGATTCTTCTGTTCACTCTTTCAATGAATCATATAATTTTTAGTAGTTTTATGTTTGTTCCAACACAACTTGACCTGCTCTCTGGTACAACATGCGTTCGTATCCACTATATTATGAGCTTCTAGTACATTATTTAGTTAGGACAAAGCCACATACTCTTGAAATTATTGCTTTTTCTTGGCTTGATCGGGTTGGGTTTTGGAGCTTGCAGATCAGGCGCCGGCCAAAAACCGCCAAACAATAAAATGGTATAGATCTACTAGAAATATTGATGCCGTAAACTGGTATTTGTGTTTACGGCATCAATTATTCTTGCTATTCAGTTTGCTACATAACAACACCAACATGACAAAAGGAGAGAAGCAACCGTCACCCAAGAAAAGCTGAATGACCTGACCACACAAACAACATTTTTACATCGGATGAATTTTTTTATTATTCTAATACACAAGATCTAAAACAGCATAGATATTCAGAAGATCCTGGTGAACATGAAAAACCTTACGAGTTATGGTGTTGATTCTTGAGTTATAAATTTTTGTGCTTATCCATGATCCCGGAGATCTCTGTTTTTCCGGCAGGGGCGCGACTCATGCCTCGAGGTGAGACAATCGATGCTACTGGCTGATTGCAAATTGATCGACCACGTGGTAGAAGTGATTCCAAACACTCCAGCCAAATTTTCATTAATATCATATATTAAATCGACAATAAGAGCTGAGGGTGTCTATATACTCGCAACCGAGCAACTATTGCCCGATAAATCTAGCTCGTACTTTGCACCAGAAGCAGTGAATGGTGGTTTAGCATGATATGACATTAAAATAGCATTAATAATGAAATTAACATTATATTATAGAAGGACGAAAAGCGTATTAGAAAACCAAATTGTCAACAAATCTGATCCTTCCCAAGACCAACGGATGAGCCACAAAGTTATCCACAAACAATGCACGCGGAAACTTTCTTCGTCGCAAGGGTGAGTATATAGATACCCCTCTCAGGAGAGATTTCCACAATTTCTCTTCTAACAGACTCAGTGCTCAGAAGATCTTTGAAGCTCTCTAATAGTGCTTATTTGGTTTCTTGTTCTTTTCACTCGCAATAGCAGTCCAGCGATGAGCAAGACTCAGCTGGTTTGCCTTGGGCTTGTTGCCATGTTTGTGATGATATGGGAGTGGACGGGGGGAGGAATCGCAAAGCTGCCCAGCGCTGCCAGAGAGGGTGGTACTGGTATTACAATGGTTGTCATCGCTGCCCGAAATGCTGGTATTCCAGAGCGGCTGGAGCTGGCGCAATGGCCGCTGCTGGAAAACCTTAGATATCCGGAGTCATGGATAAGCCCAAAAATCTATCAACACCATAAATCGGAAGGTTTTGTTTGAATGATGTAAGATCCTCCTAAATCCTAATTAGGATAAATGTGATCTGTTTAATTTCATCTGGAGTAGATTCTTGTCTCCAAGCATGGAGCTTTTCTTGCGTGGCAGTTCTTTGGTTGTTATGTAGCAAACAAAACAGCAAGAATTATGTTACTGATCTTTAAGTTTTTTGTGGTATTTGGCCGGCTCTGGTGTTTGGATAAGATAAGAATTGCCTGGTCTGCAAGCTCCAAAAACCGATCAAGCCAAGAGAGTCTGGTGTATGTGGTTTTGTCCTTTAAAATCCACAAGAATGTACTAGAATAGTGGACACGAACGCATGTTGTACGAGAGATCAGGCCAAGTTGGAACAAAGATATTACTAAAAACTATATGATTCATCGAAAAAGTGAACAGAATTACATAGCTAGCCAATGGTCATATTTCGTTGGTCCAAGTCAAACAGTGTAAAAGTCTGTAAAGAAAAAAACACATTGGTGGCAACATTGTTCTTCTCGACAAGCTCTCGCAGCTCCACAGTCGCTTCCGACTGTAACAGCGTAAATTCCAGCACTAGACACCAGAATTTTCAAGGCCTGTGCGAATGCATTGAGAAAGAGGTCTCTGGAAACCTGCAGTAACAAAGTAATTTAAGACTTTCGTGCGCTAGCGTTTATGAGAAGCACAGCGAGCTCCATGAGCAGCAAAGGACCCCTTACAAACAAATACATTGTTGTCTAAGAAGAAGGAAACAAAAACTAAGAGAGAAATACCTATGAGAGTGAGACAAGCACCACATTCCTTCCACGCATAAAATGTAAGGGGAGAATCGCGCCGCTCCCTCACTCCCCAGCAAGAGCCCTAGAAATCCAAATGCCGCGACCCCGAACTTGAGAAGACCCCATTCCCGTCTAAAGAACAGAGAAAATGATCTGCAATCCTGACCGTCCAAACTCAACGTTGCGGATTATGCCAAGTGGTGACCGATTTTAACAAATGCAAACCTTAATTGAGTCTTTTCAAATGGTGGGCGCGAATTGTAATGAAAGACTTTGGCCTGGAACTGCGCGGTCTTTGTATCTATCCACACACTCTCGACGCTATATAAACAGCACATCTCTTACAATCCCCCACACACTCTCTAGAGCTCCTTTGTTCTTTCGCTTTGGTTTGCTCCTTCTCTCTTCTCCAATTCCAATCGATTGATCGATTGATTGACCGATTGCTATGGCAAGCAGCAAGACTCGATTGGTGTGCCTGGGCCTGGTTGTGATGTTTGTGATGCTCCTGGCGGTGGGAGTGGAGGTCGGGGGGATCACCAAGGCGGTGGCGCAGCGCTGCCGCAGGGGATGGTACTGGAATGGATCTCGCTGCGTGCAATGCAATTGGTACTGGTATGACAACAGCTGCCATCGATGCCAGCGTGGGTGGCGCTGGAATGGCAGCCGCTGCGTCAATTAATGAAAGTTTGTGAGTGATCTCTGGGGCCTGGAACCATGGGAGCGAATGTCGAATGGGTGAAGAACTACGTAGAATAAAACTGTGGCTTGGAAACGGGAATGTTTTGGAGTCCTATAGAATCTTGTGTGAAATCTATTCCGATGTTCAGGCTCTGAGATTATCAATGATAAATATGGTGTGTTTTCTGGAAAATGGTTGTCGCAGTGTAACGTTCGCAAAATGCATGGATTTTTAACATATATATATATATATATATATATATATATTCAGCCAACAAACTTTCCAACTGCCATTCTATAGACCTGCAAAGTGGAAAGAACAAGAAACACAATCAAATTCATATCCTAAAGAGTTGCAAGCACATAATTAACCTGTTCCTGAGAAGAGAAGTGTAAGTGATGATTTCGTCTCGATTGAGAGGGGCGTTTTATATACGTTCCTTGCAACGACTGAGCAAATTTCCGCGTGTATAAGTGTTGCCGTATGTGGTAAAACTGCTAGACTTAGTCTGTAAAAGAGATCAGATTCGTTGACAAATTTGCCTCCTGACTACCGTGTCACATGCCAGAGCTTTTGCATCTTCTTTTAAGTTCCACGTCGAGACTAGGATGGCAAAGTCTCGGGACAAAATAAACAGCTTTTCATTGACAAAACAAAAACACTTAGTTATTTATATTGCTTTGGATCAGTTGTGTTTACATTTATGATGTTACCAAAAGCTGGAAGCTCTACATCCATGCATAGATTGATTCCAGATTTCTGAAGAATATTTGGCGCTCTTTCTATTTTAGTGTACGTCAATGTTAAGATGTTCTTGGTCATTAAGATTCGTCTGGCTTGCCTTGGGCTATGTTTGTGTTGCTCCTGGTAATGGGAGTGGACATGGGAGGAATCGCAAACGCTGCTGCCCAGCGATGCCCGAGAGGGTGGTATTGGTATGACAATGATTGCCACCGCTGCCGAAAGGGTTGGACCAACAATCGCTGCTGGAGAAACTGAAACCTCAGGTTTTAAGGGGTAACTGCAATTCTCAAATCAACTCGTAATTTCTATGATTTCATACTGTCAGGGTCTGGAAACAAGAATAAAAGACACTTTGTATCGTGCAGCAATAATAATATACATATAAAACTTTGCTTCATCTCGAGAGTTGTGAGCTCGGGTGGAATTACTCCGCAAACTTTCTTGGTTTACAAACATAAAGATTAAGCTTTTTGGATATCTTCGTGTTGGGAATGGAACCATGAGATAAAGCCCACCTGATTTGCTTTACCGAGCAGAGCTTGCATGATGAAGCCGGCCACCGCATTATCGAGCAACATCAGGGGACCTCTTTCGTTTCGAGTGGGTGCCACAAATAATCACACAGGTAGCAGGATGACTCATGCCTGGTATCACGAGAGACTTTGCATGATCCAAGTGGAAGGCATGCTTTCTATCTGCTGCGACCCAGCTCCTGCAAATTGATCGACCACATGGTAGAAAACACTCCAACATTATTAGTTGAAATTTCCATTAATATCACATAATAAATCGACAATAAGAGTTCAGGAACCTCTTGAGAGGGTGTCTATATACTCGCAACCGAGCAAGCATTTCCCGATCTAACTCGTACTTTGCAGCAGAAGCAGCAGGGGCGATGAGCAAGACCCTGATTTGTTGTTGCACCAAAAAGGTGCAGCAAATTGACTAACATTATATCAACAGCGCTCGTTTTGGAGCTTACTGCTACGACAGACTTCGTCAAGTCGTTGTGGAAGGACGAAAAGTTTATTTTTCCGTATTATTGAGAGTACTACGTACTTAGAAAATCAATTTGTCAACGAATCTGATCCTTCCCAAGACCAAGTCTAGCGAACGGCGCGCGTCAACCGATGGGACACAAAGTTATCCGCAAACAATGCACGCAGAAACTTGCTCGGTCGTTGCAAGGGCGAGTATATAGATACCCCTCTCAAGAGAGGGTTCCACAATCTCTCTCCTAGCCATCATCCTGATTCAGTGCTCAAAGATCAGAAGAAGCTCTTTAATAGTTCTGATTTGGTTTCTTGTTCTTTTCGTCAGTCAAAGTATATAGCAATGGCGATGAGCAAGACTCAGCTGGTTTGCCTTGGGCTTGTTTCCATGTTTGTGATAATGCTGGCCATGGGAGTGGACATGGGAGGAATCGCAAAGGTTGCTGCGCAGCGCTGTCCGATAGGGTGGTACTGGTATGACAATCGTTGTCACCCCTGCCCGAAAAACTGGTATTGGTATGGCGGAAGCTGCCACCGATGCCAGAGCGGCTGGAGCTGGCGCAAAGGCCGCTGCTGGAGAAACTGAGGTCTTTAAGCCCAAACACACCAAGAATAAAAAGATTTGATGCGATGTAAAAATGTTGTTATTAAACTATTTAATTCATCTCGAGAGTTTACTTAGATTCTTGTCTCCAGGCACTGAGCTTTTCCTGGATGGCAGTTCTTTCGCTCCTTATTTCATGTTGGTGTTGTTACGTAGCAAACGGAACAGCAAGAACAACTGATGCCGTAAACACAAAAATCAATTTACAGCATCAATTGTTGTCGTAGATCTATACCAGTCTTTTAGTTTTTTGGCGGTGTTTGGCCGGCGCTGGTGTTCGGATAAGATAGGAATTGCCTGGTCTGCAAGCTCCAAAACCCAACCCGATCAAGCCAAGAAGAAGCAATAATTTCGAGAGAGTCTAAAAGTAATGTATACTATAGTGGACACGAACGCATGTTGTACCAGAGATCAGGCCAAGTTGTGTTGGAACAAACACAAAATTACTAAAAATTACATGATTCATCCACAGAGAGAACAGAAGAACACGGCTAGCCATATTCTTATCAATATTTCTTCTTTCCATTGGTCCAAGTCAAGAGCCGCTCAAACAGTAACAAGAGTCTGTACAAAAAACCCCCTGTATATACCATGTATACACCATGGCCACAAGTCTATTATAATTGACTCTACATGTAATCTCTTCATACTTCTCGGCACTATAAATGCCTCCTCGGCCTTCATTGGCATCATCCATCCCAGAAATCAAAGCTTCTCACAGCAAACTTCTCTCCAAAATCTTTCTCATCTCACTCAACTCAATCAAGAAGAATTCTTCGCTAATGGCAATGGTGGCGAGCTACTCTTCTCGCGTGGCCTTCATTGGAGTGGTAGTCATGCTCCTCTTAATCGGCGTGGACATTGGCAATGGCATCGCAAAGGCCCAGGCACAAAGCTGTCGGTCCGGTTGGCACTGGTCCGGTGGCAGGTGCATCCAATGCCCGACTGGGTGGTACTGGTACAATAGCAAGTGTAACCAGTGCCTGTCCGGGTGGTACTGGTACAATGGCAAGTGCAACCAGTGCCTGTCCGGGTGGTACTGGTACAATGGCAAGTGCAACCAGTGCCAGTCCGGTTGGTACTGGTACAACAACAGTTGCAACCGGTGCCCATTGGGGCGGAGCTGGACTGGTACTGGCTGCTCCAAGAACTGAGGAAGAAATTTACCATTACTCCACATGGTAAAAAGAGATTATATGGTGTGTGCTTTGTTCTTTGTTTGTGTGACTGGATTTCGTTTTTTTACTGTGTGTCGAAGTAAATAATGCCAAGGTTGTTTGGCAGAGTTTGATATCTTTTGTCTATTTGCTCTTTAAGAAATTTACCTTTGTTTTATCCTTCGCGCTCTAAAGACGTAGACGATATCTTGGTAAATATTTCCAGGGTTTTTCGATGATGCTCGTCGAGGAGCGCCACTGGGAATCCGCGCGGCGCGGCGCGGCGAGCTGGATGCGCCGGATCGAGCGCCAGCGATTGATTCCCGTGGAATGCAGGTCCCGGGAGCTCGATCGGCTAATGCTGCCGGCAACCCTAGGAGAGGGCGGTGATTTCAAATGCGCTTCGCTCAATCATTCCACTCGAGAATCCTCCCGGCGATGAGCGGACACGATCGCAGATCCGGCGCCCAGGTGAGTGGAGTGAAAGCGAGTGCTATCTAGCCTGGCGCGTCAAAGTACTCGCTTGTCGTCGTGCTCTCCTGCTGTAGGGTTGTGCGCAGTCCTTGGCGATGGCGCATCGTCGTAGCTTCCGGGACGCTATCGAAATTCTCAATGGTCTAATCACCAAGAAGCGTGGAGGAGGGGGAGCAGTGGTGGATTTGGATCGTTCGCCAAGCACCCACGATAGCAGCCGATGGGAGAACCATTTCCAGCTCGTTGCTGACCATCTAAAGGTACCATTTTTTCTTCGGTTTTTGGTTTCTTCTCGAGCTTTTTTTTTTTTCCTCCTTCAGCTGCTCGGGTTGGAGGAGCCAGTATCGAAATTAAGCGTAATTCATGTGGCTGGAACCAAGGGAAAGGTACTTAAAACCAGTTTCTTTCTTTTTTGACGAGCCTTAGTCTGTGACAGGGTTCTACTTGTGCATTTGTGGAGAGAATTTTGCGAGCTTCTGGTTTCCGGACTGCTCTTTTCACCTCGCCTCATTTGCTAGACATTAGAGAACGATTTAGATTGAACGGGTAAGTGTTGTGGTGGCATTATCAAGTTTACAGTGCTCGTTTAAACCAGGGAGGAGGTCTCCGAGGAGACTTTTAACCAGTATTTTTGGTGGTGTTGGGATCATCTCCAGGTGGGTTAACCTGGTTTGTTCTTTTTTCTTTGTAATTCATAGGCAAATGCAGGCAAATGAGGCCGAGCAGGGGCTCCCTATGCCACGTCTCTTTCGGTTCCTCACAATTTTGGCATTCAAGATGTTTACGTCGGAGGATGTGAGAAAACTAGACTATGTTTTTTAATATTGCTTTACGGCTTAACTCGTGACCAACAGGTTGACGTTGCTATCTTGGAAGTCGGTTTAGGAGGTCGCTGTGATGCAACCAATGTGGTAAGCAGCTAAGCTGCCGATGAAGTTGACTTGTCCTTTTGTTTCTCAGGTTCGAAATCCAGCCATCTGTGGAGTAGCATCACTCGGCTACGACCATATGGAGATTCTTGGTTTCCTTTTTTTAAAATCATCGTGTTCGCTTGCTGACGTGCTCGTTTGTAGGAAACACACTCGCGGAAATTGCAACGGAGAAGGCTGGGATTTTCAAGGTACTGGTATCTAGATTTATCTATTCTTCTGACGTCTTGGCACCGGTTGAAGGCAGGCGTACCAGCTGTTACAGTGCCACAGCCAGCTGAAGCATTGGAGGCTCTGAAGAAGCGTGCTTTGGAGCTAAATGTAGGCATTGTTTTTGTGTAAATCTAGGCCGAACTGACGCATTCGTTGTGAGCAGATACCTTTAGAAACTGCTGCTCCTCTGGAAACTTATAATCTGGGAGACTTAAAGCTTGGACTGCAAGGAGAGCATCAACGGACCAACGCTGCACTTGCCGTGGCGCTTTGCAGAGGCTGGGCGGAGAGAACCGATCACCAAGAGCATAAAGCAATCCTGAACGAGGTAAGCGTTTAATTGTTCTCTTCTACTTGAGAGTCCAGCCTCCTTTTCTCGTTGCGAAGGCTCTTGAGCAAGGTCGTTTACCTGATTCATACATTAAGGGGCTCGTTGAAGTGCGGTGGGCAGGAAGAGCAGAGATTGTCCGTGAGAAGAAGCTAAGCTTCTACCTGGACGGGGCTCATAGCCCAGAAAGTATGGAAGCCTGTGCTAAGTGGTTTTCTTCCGCTGCTAGAGCCGACAACATCCACAAAGAGAATGAAGAAATATCGGCATTCGATATTAAGCAGTTTAACACACCAACTTCGAACTCTAGACAGGTGAATTTTGTTGAGTTGGCTAACGATATCAGTGTTATTTGTCTGTGTAGATCTTACTCTTCAATTGCATGCCCAAGCGCGATCCCAACCTTCTATTCCCACCCTTGCTAGATATCTGCAAACAACAAGGTTTTTCGACTTGATGAAGCAAAGCTCTCTGGCTGAAAGTTCATGTTTCTTGTTTGTAGATATTTCACTCGAGCTGGCGATATTCGTACCCCCGTACTCGAGCTACACGTCAATTGACAACACTCACGATTCTCCCGTTGATCCAGATCTCTCGTGGCAAAAGGTGTTACAGCAGCACTGGGAGTCCTTCAAGGAGAAAGGTAAAATATCGAGCTAGTTTTCCAACTGGAAGTGCTTGCGAGTTATCTTGCAGATTCGAAAGCCGGAGACTATCGTCGAGAGTTTCTTTCCGGCCTGGAAAACGGCTATAGCTCATGCCATTTTGGAGTTTCCAGTGCAGTGATGCCATCGCTACCAGCAGCCATTGATTGGCTGCGCTTTTGCTCCGCTCGCCATCCAAATCTTCATCTCCAGGTACTTGGTTAAAACTCTTTATGGTGTAAGCGGTTGTTTCTCTCTCAGGTTTTGGTCACTGGTTCTTTGTATTTGGTTGGCGATGTTTTGCGGCTGCTCAAGTAAACGCTTGGTGCCTGAAAGATTCCACGTTTGATGGCCAATCTCACCCGTTGGATCACACTCTTCCCATATGTTGATAACCCTGGAGGATTTGGTAGCATACAACTTCAACTGGAACCTGCAGAGGTTCTCGGTCCGCGAGGATGATGTGTTCTGAATTCCATTCTCTCATCACACTAATCTTTTTATAAGAAAGTCTGTCAAGCTGTTCTCACTTGTTGCATTTCTTCTTGTGGTTTTCGTTGGCTTCTCAAGTTGTGCTAGTGATAATTGTGATGGCTCTTTTTATTGTGGTTCTCGTGTTGATTGCCGAACTGCAATATCAAGTTACACCGATGGAACTATTTATACTTCTCTCGTTTCTGGTGCCATCTTTACTTGTAGTGGAGCCTATCCTTCCGTGAGTGGTGTAACTCTCAAGCAACAATTCCTACACGTTTATAATAATCAGCCTAGTGAAAAATGTGGGAGTCATGTATTTTGTAAGTGCCAGGCTACCCTCAACTATTCTGGAAATTGCAGAGACTCTGGGCATCCTAACTACGTCTCAAACTAAAGTCTCAAAACTGAAGTCTAATTTCTGATAATAATAAACTATATACTTTTAATGTTTATTTAGTAATTTTGTGTTTATAAAAAAATTACTGCTAAGGAGACAATGATTCTCAAGCTTTACAAGCTCAACATCTCTCCTAAGTTTATTTCTTGGATATTACTTCCATGCAAATGTGTACCACTTATTCCACTTGTGAGTACACAAAAATTTATAAACAGATCTATATTGTCTAGTAAACTCTATTGTCACTACTTGGGGTTTGCAAAGCTAGGCTGATTCTTTGAAATATGAGAGCTAGATTTCTGTATGCATAAGCATGGACACTTTTACAAAATTGTCACAGCTCAAATTCTGAATAGTAACAAGAAAGAGAAAGAACAGTCAAGCTCTCTTGTGACTGTGTATGAGACTTGTTGTCTAATAGGAAGGTATGAAACTCACTGCAACAAATTGCAGGAAAGTAAAAGAAATGGCGAAAAGCTCAAGTGGAGAAGAAAACTGCCATAAGCCCTGGATCTATAGGCTGAAATATCAGAATTCAAGTCACAAAAAGATTTCACAGCAGCATCCCTTTTGCAAGCTGTGCACTGCTACCATTACCACGATGCCTAGCCAGTGCCTTGTCATCCCCCTCCCTTGCATTAGCTAGCACAAAACTAGTGCCAGATCTATCATGTAGTGTGCATGACCTTAAACTGTAATAGCTAAGTGCTACTCTTAAGCCAGAAAGAACAAATTGGGCTTGCAGCCAGCCTTCTCCCAATTCCACTAGAAATCCTATCTAGGAACATGACCGTGAGGCATCGTGTGGCACAAGTATGTTGTGTTTCCACAGCCAACCATGTTGAGATCTCTCCAATCCTCATTACAATCTGAGCTCTCATATGCTCAAACACTCAAGATCACATTTCTCTCTTAAGGAACACTCCAAGGACACTTTTGAACACTTTTAATGACTATAAGAAAGAGGTGAGGTCCCATGCTTCCAATGAAATCTCCATAATAAAGACTTGTATGCCCAAATTGCAAAGGAATATCCTAATGAATCTCTACTCTTTGCATTTACTTTTAACATTTTCTAGACATTAATATGTTACTCAACTCATAGATTCTACTCCAACTGATAGATATAAAGCCAATTTTCCCTTGTGCCAACTTTTACTTCTCCTTGTGTCAACTTCTACTTCTCCTTGGACTTATTCTTCTTCAATCCTCATCACTTATTGACTTCCTCTAAAAATAATTTCTCTAAGAAGAAAAAGGGTCTTTGCAATTATTATAAACGATGGGACATGTGGAGTATGAATGCCGTGCATAAAAGGCTGCCACTCAGCATATACTTACTCAAAACAACTTGTTGTTGATAATACTTGTCATTGGTGCCTACTCTAGAGGTGTTATGGTTGGATAGTGGTGCTTAATTTCATATGACTCTCTTGAAATTTGTGTTTCACACCTAAGGCTCCACAACAACAAATAAACACTGCAGGTGGAAGGCTGTGGCATGGTGGTGATCAAGCTTCCAAATGGACCTCTCAAGGAGGTTTATCATATTCACTTTGTCCCTGAAGCTAGAAGATCTTAAATAATGAAGGTATGTGTATAAAATAGTAGGAAGAGGATGTATGTAGAGAGTCTCAAGATGCAGAAGGAGATACAATCAACGTATCCAGCAAAAAAGAACAGCCAAAAAAAGCCAAATGAACCTAGGATACTCTCAGCATCTTTTTGATCTGGAAAAATTAACCAAGGAAAATTGGGATTCTCTTGCAACCAAAGTTGCTAACAAGAAGAAATGAGGCACTTTCTGTGGGCCTCGTAGCTCTTCTATAACATCACCCAGACTCCCCATTTGACAATTACTTGGCAAGAAATAATGCTTACTCATGCACAATCTAAGGAAATCCTAAATTGCCAACTTTACACTCAGCAATCTTGTGCTCTTCCTCTAGAAGATTAGAGTAGAGCTAAGATAAATGAGAGCATGAAGGATGATTGTTACAACTCTAGGGAGACAAAGTGAAGCAAGAAAGCTTTTGCATAGTCATTTGAGATTGCTTTACCCACTTGCTTGAACTGTTGCATAATGCCCTTGAGCTTCTTGATGTATGTTGCCATTGTCTCATTAGGTTGCATGTGTAAAAAGAAACACTTTTGGGCGAGAACAAATTTGCTTTCAAGTTCTTAAAGTCAAGGTCAAGTGTCAAGAGGTCTCACTTCAATTCCCTCGACCAAGTCCCAGCAATCTTTAGCCATCAAAATTAACTAGACTTGAGTCTTCAATATTGTGAAGTTTTCACTTCTGAACTTCTAGAGCAGCTTCTCCCATCCTGCATCCAAGCTGCCAGCCAAAGTGACCGCTGGGGTGGTTTGAGAAAGTGGAGTACTAGAAGCCAAGCCATTAGTTTCTAGAGAAAACGGCTAAGGAAAGTGAGGAAGAGGAGGTGGTGGGAATCTCTAGAAGGGATGCTTACACACAGAGTGATAATGAGGGCAAAGGCAAGGATTGGGTTCACATTGTGCTCACTTGCATTCTTGGATTTACTGCTCCACCCTAGCAAGGATTGCAAGAGCCCTAGCACGTTCTTTCTCATTGCATTGCTATGTTTACCAGTGTTTCACCATCAGGATCAAAACAAACTTGATACCATATGTCTGGATTTTTGTATATGGAGTGCTCTCTCAACTTCATTGCTTTGCTATAGTTATGTACATAATGGTATGGGTGTGAACTTGGCGGATGGATGACTCGGCTTGTTTGCTGATGTGGAGACTTGCCGTCACTTGGGAAGGCACATGGCTCAGCTAGGGTCTTGTCTGGCTTTATGATGTCAGAAACTCTCACCAACCAAAGCTAACACCAGCTTGGAGCAGACCAATTCAAGTGAAAAGCATCACTAACGCAAATTCTTTTTACGTTCAAGCAATGGCCACATCTTGCCTTTCCTTCAACGAGGTTCATCTTCAACACAACTACATTTAAGGAGTATCTAGAGCAGCAACATACATATAGAGGTTTTTTAATCATTCGGTTCTTACATTTTCCTTTTCTTTCTAGCTTCAAACGTTTTGACATCAATTTTTCTTCACCATGCGGATATGTGTGCCTCCTGTCCTGGAAAGTCTCAAACAGAGCTTGAGCAGCCAACAAAAGGATCCATGCGTTTTTTCACATCAAAACATTTCCAACATTCTGCAGCAATGAAGTACCTCTTCTTATTAGTAGATGGAGTAGCATACTGCTCCCACAAAAAGCCAAGGAGAAGAGTGAGCTGGAGCAGCTTCTTCGTGTCTCGAACCAAATTACCTTATGACCAGGAAACTAGCTTTGAGCCACTACCAAAGCCCTTCTTTCACAACATTGTTGCAGATAGAGATGATTTGAGCTGTAAACACCCCAAGACTGCCTTCAGAGCTCGAGGACGAGCTCCCCTAGTGTGTATAGGTGCCAAGTGAGGATATATTGGGATATTCCCTGGAGATGAGATGATCAGTCTTTTTCAGCTCTCATCTTGGAGAGTCATCACCATGTGCATATCCCACCACCCTCTGTGACAATTTATGCCGATGCCTTAAGGAAAATGCTGAGCGCCACAACTTATGAAGCCACTTTGAGTTCCTTGGATTTAGTTCGCTCTTTGACAATATCTTCTTTCCATTGAGGGGAATTATATGAGAGACTTGGCAATGCCCACAATCATTCACTCATGACACCAGATCGTTGAAGTTGATCTCCTCTAAAATCCTTCTTGCATCATCTATATGTCTTGAGTCTGCATTTGCCTCTGTAAAAAGGTGGTCATTTCACCAATTTGAATGGAATTGTTTGGGTTAGTACTTATCCACACTATGTTTTTCTAAACCCTTCTTCATATTTAGAATACACTAGCAATCCCTGAATCGTTCTTATTCATTATCTTTCATTTCGGTCATGCAACTCGAGACCACACTGTGAGTTATAGCCAAAAATTTGCAAAAGATCTCCGAAACCACCACACAGAGGAGCTTATAGCTCTCTGGTTATGACATATCAGCGCCATTATCGAGGGCATCAGCCATACCGTTGCGATTTCTCCCCACATCCACTCCCATGGCCAGCATCATCACAACAAACCATGGCCCCATGTCCTTCATGACTTGCTGCAAAAACTAAGAGAAACAATCTCTAGTATACTGGAGAGAGGTGGTGATGCCCATCATATTTATAGCTCAAGACGCTAGAATGCTCTTGGGAAGGCATCTAGAATATTTAAAAGTTAGTTGTTCCGTGTTTGTCAATTCCTTCTCTTTTCTATAATGCTGGGTGGGGCATAGACGAAGTTTGCAACACGAAGAAGGAAGTAAAACTGCCACGCAAGAAAAACTCAGTCGGCAGGCCTGGAGTCAAAATGAAGTAAACTCTTGAAATGAAACTGTGAATCCAGATGAGAAATAGAGAGAACAGACATTTTTTATCAAGGCCTGGACAGTTTATATATTATTGTTGGATCCCATGCAATGCCATACAGAAAACTATTCTTCTTTCCAGACCCTGGCACTGCAGAATGATGAATTCAGAGGAACGATGCTGGGGTTTACCCCTTGAAACGGGAGGTTTCAGTTGTGCCAGCAGCGATTGTTGCACCAGACCCAACCCCTCTGGCAACGGTGGCAACTGTTGTCATACCAATACCACCCCGACTGGCAGCGCTGGGCAGCAGCCTTTGCGATTCCTCCCACGTCCACGCCCATGGCCAGCACCATCACAAACATGGCAAGCGCCAAAAATATCACCAAGAAAGCCTTGTTCTCCATGATTTGCTGCTCAGACTAAGTAGGATTGTATATTAGAGAGAAATGGTTTGATCTGTGAGGCAGGAGGGGCTCGTATTTATAGCTCGAGGCAGCATAATTTAGATGGTGGCTGGGGAGTTGTCTTGGGATGGCTTCGCTTATTTCTTATCTCTGGAAGAATATTTGAAAGTTAGTCCAGTAAAAGTGGTTCCGTGTTTGCCAATTCTTCTTTTTCCTATAATGCTTCTCCAATCCTTCAAATCCTTATCTTCAAAGTCACTCTAGCATTCCTCTTCTAGCTTTGCCAAAACTTTACAAGAGTTTGATTCAAAGTTCCATAGAACTTCCATGCTAATATAAACATGAACGTAATACCTTGGCTTCCGTTTCGACCACAGACTCAGTACGGCCGCTTCCAGTCACCCGCAACATTAATCAAAGTGGTTTGTCTTTTCTCACTGGCAGGCTCTTGACAATCTCTTGGGCATTCTAGAGCAATCTGCACCAATTAATGGAAGTGATATCAATAATTATCAAGATTTTATTCATTAGATTTGTTTTTCTTATTTAATTTACTTATAATTATTTTCTGTTATTCTATTAATTAAATGTTGTACTTGTTGACTCATGTGACGCAGCTGACATGAGCACGTAAAGCGCCAGAGTCCCCTGGTTTCATCTCCAAGAGTTTCTCTGCGGCACGAGCTGCAACATTGATGTTCTTGCCGTTACCATGAACTTTGCAAGCGCTGATCAAGCTCTTCCACGCGAGGAAATGCGGCTGGAAGGGCATCACCAGCAGCAGACCTTCGGCCTTGGCAACCAGCCCGGCTCGTCCCAGCACATCTGCCATCGCCTGGAAGTGAATCACATTTGGAGAAATACTGTACTCCGCCACCATAGATCGAAAGTAGTCGAGTGCCACACGGAGCTTCCCACCGTGATTGCAAGTCAGGAAAATCCCCTGGAAACTTATCTCGTTTCTCGCCTCGCCCTCCATTGCCATGCTGCCAGAAAACATCACGTGTTGTGGCATCCGTGCAAACATCTTCCTGGCTTCTTCGAGGTGGCCGTGGTTGGAGTAGGCCAAGATCATGGCAGTCCACACCACGTCATCGTGATAAGGAGCTCGATGGAGAGAATGCGAGCTTCTTGGAGCTGGTTTCTCTCGGCCAGTGCGGTGATCATTGTCGACCACGATGCAACGTTCCTCTGTGGCATGCCATCAAACAGAGACCTTGCTTCTTTCAAACTGGACGTTGCTGCTAGCATTGCGTTCCACGAGCTTAAGTCGCGGTGTGCATTTTACTGAAAACCTCCTTGGCTTTTTCAATATGCCCAATCTGGGCATATGCGGTGACAAGAACAGTTCATCCGAGCTCGTTGGTTTCGGGGATTCTCATGAACAAATTTAGCGCGTCGTTAACAAACCTTTTCTGGAATACCCATTATACATAACAGTCCAAGAAACTAAGCATTCCATCAAAGATCTGGCTTGCTTGATCCATATGCCCGTTATGGGCATATGCTGGAAGTAGCGAGTTCCAGCAAACTACATCCCATTCTAGAACCTGATCAAACAATGTTTGGCACTCCTCCAAGTTTCCACGGTTTTCATGAGCTGTGAGAATAGAGACCCATGCAACAATATCTCTTTGTGGCAAACAGCTCTTTTGCTTCCTCAAGATCCGCATTTTGGGCATAAGCGCCAAGCATCAAGTTCCAGGAGAATCTGTTAGGCTCATGGATGGCTGATAAACACCTGCCTTGCTCGATCCCCGCGCTCGCACCTTCCTTAGAGCTGGATGAGAAGATTTGCGAGGTACCTGTTGGATTGGTGGTGAAGGATGAGCGTGTGGAGCCTGGCGCCATGACGCAAATCTCTTTTCTATGCAAGGAGTTGCACGTAGTCGTCGTTGAGAGACAATGCACGCTGCTCTAGATCGTCCACGGCCTGTTCTAGAGGCTTCAATTGTTAGCAGCGAAGAGGCAGTTCCCGGGTAGGGTGAGCATGTTCCCGCCCAGAACGGGCGAGCCGGGCGTTAGCCCGGCGAGCGCGTTCTGGAGGGAACGAGCGAGGCTATGCCCGGGAACGGCCTTAATGGGCTGTGGCAAGACTGTTAATGGACACATGGAATAACGTTATTGGAGGAGGAGAGGGTTCTCTAGAACCTGGCGGCTGGCAGTTGGGTTCTCCAGAACATGGTAGCTGTCAGCCACATTCTCTAGAACTTGGTAGCTATCAGCCACGTTCTCCAGAACCTGGTAGCTGTCAGCCACGTTCTCCAGAATGTGGCTGACAACAGTAAAATTCTCGTAGAGAACTTGACTCGATCCGACGGCTGCCAACGGCTAGATCAAGTTAACGGGTGAGCCACAGCCTGTGAAGAGACACGGAAGAACTTTCTATGTATTTCAACTATATATGAGGCAGTTCCTGGGTAGGGCGAGCACGTTCCTGCCCAGAACGGGCAAGCTGGGTGTTAGCCCAGCAAGTGCGTTCTGGAGGGAACGAGCAAGGCCGTGCCCGGGAACGGCCTTAACGGGCTGTGGCGAGACCGTTAACGAACATGTGAAAGAATGTTATTCAAGGATGAGAGGGTTCTCCAGAATTGGCAGCTGGTAGCCTGGTTCTCCAGAATCTGACAGCTGACAGCTAGGTTTTGGAGAACTTGGCAATTGTCAGCCACGTTCTCGTAGAGAACCTGACTCGATCCGACAGCTGCCAACGGTTGGATCAAGTTAATGGGTGAGCCACAACCCATTAAGAATGGTACATGTATGGAAAGTACTGCCACGTGGGCATAATTAACATCAATTGGTATATCTGCGTGGTAGTGATTCCTCTCATCGATCGTTTCGTTTGCTTTTACCAGCATTTTCCTAGGATACAGTAAACTCTTTCTACTGACAAAATAGAGCTTTGATTTATCAATGGCGAATAAGTGTTTCCAAAGGTGGCATTTCATATTGGATTTTTGCTGTAAAAAGGAAATGGTGAGTGTGTTCCCTCAACTTGTTCTTCATATTTATACATTCAAAATTGCTAGATAATCCCCAAGAGGAAACTTACGATCCATACCAGCGCCATCCTCTAGGTGAGATTCCTCCTACGTCCATGCCTATGGCAAGCATTACAAACATGATGAGCATCTAAAACAACAACCTTTTTGCTGCTAGTAAGCTTGTTATATACTGAGGTAGGAGGGGCTTATAGGGATGGCATCAGTTAGTCTTTATCTCTTTGAGTTCCGTGTTTGGGAATTTATTTATTTTTTCTATAATGCTGGAAAAAAGAAGAAATTCCCAAACACGAAACTTGACTATAAAGTCCTAACACAACTCTATAGTTACCTTGAATTATAAATATGAGCCCCTTTTGCTGCATAGATTAAATTGTGCCTTAGATGATCCAAGAGATCAATAGTGTGAGGAAAAGGGTACACATTTTGTTTAATGGACAATAATCAATGTAAAAATCAATACTCCCATTAGACTTTGTCACGTGAGGTTTATATGCCTAAGGATTGCGTGACTTTTGAATAACTCCATTTTTCAACATCTCTTTGATGTTTGTATATAAAATCTTGATCTCTTTGGATAAATGAAGATGAATAAAAACCTTGATTAGACAAGCATCCCTAGTTGGAATAAAATGATGTGTTATAATCTTGGCTCCAGATGATAGGTTAAATTCAAAGAGATCTACATACTCTTTCATGAGTTGGTCAACTGTTACAACATAAAAACCATTAAAGGGATCAGAAAAGGAAAGAGAGAAACAAGATAGAAATTTAAGAGGAAGTAATGGGAAACAAAAGTGATGGAAGTAAAAGTAGAAGCAAAAGGATAAAGATATATAGAAGTGAGAGGAATGGAAGAAATTGTAAGCTCCTAAGTTTGGACTTCCCGGGAGGTCACCCAGCCCAATACTATTCAAACCCAAGGACGCTTAACCCCAAATATCCCAAGACCCTCAACCGATTGGAAAAGGGGGTGCACTTTTGTTCATGGGCCCTTTCCCTCTATATTTGAACCCCATGGATCGTCTCTCAAGTCGTTCCCTTTGGTTGCTTATAGAAATATTAAGAAGTATGAGATAAAGGGGAGAAAGCTCAAATCACATTTCGCATGATTGCGCTGCAACTAATCCATACCAATGATGAGGTCAAAAGCTTGATTCAACACTATTTGCAATGACTACAACTCAAGCTCGAGATCGCTTACATGCACAATTAAATCCACCTCATCCCACACACATGCATTGTATGGTTATTGCTATAAAGAATGAAAATCAATTTTGCCACACAACATAAATATAGATGGCAACGTGTGGCAATAGATTGAGTAATAGAGGATAAACTTGAACCTATATTAACCAACATGGAGAGAATAATAGGTAATCTCTTATTATAAAAATGAGCTTGGAAAGTAAACATTAAATGAATTGGTGCTGAGTGAACCCTTTAATGATACTCCCAAAAGAAAGATGGAAGGTCACTGATTTATTTGTGCAATGTCCTTTTATTACTTGCACAATTCCTTATTTTTAGAATGCATCTCAGTGTCTACCACTACAATAGCATCAACAGGACGTTGTTGACGCTAATGTTGCGAATATGACTTTGGGTATCGAAAATTATATGTTAGTTAGTCCTTTCGGATATTCTTTTCTTACTACCATGATGGCAAGAGGTCGATATTCCTGGACCCTTTATCAATCCTTCTTGTTTAAGTGTTAGTAAACTGGATTTTGCATCTATATTTGGCCAGACGAGTATAAGGATAGAATTCTTAAATGTCTATTTAGCCAAACATACTTAGCCCAGTTTGTTAGTTTTCTTTTGCTTTGTCTTGTATTGGCTTGATAAGATTTTGCATATTAAGCCTAGTCCCTCAATATTCACTAAATAATAACTTACTATGTCTATCAAACACCTTTGCTATCATGCCCTTTGTGTTAATCTTATTTCGGTCCCAAATGCTATTTATGAAAAGTGTTTGGATTTGTTCATTTGGTATATCTACAGAATGTAAAGATTGTCTTAAACACAATGGTGTTCGTCTCGTGTCCAAATTCATAATCTAGGGATATTCCATATTTAGTAAATTTTGAGCTTGTCACAATTGTCAATATGTCCAAATACACATTTAAAGATGTCCAAGAGAATACTCCAATCCTCATGAGTGGTTGTGCTCAAACCATTATACCATTTTAGCACCATTAGAGGCACATGGGAAACTCATGCAAATATTAAATATCATCCCAAAAAATGATATGTGGCAACTATTGTGAAGTGATCAAATCAATAATACACATCATCTCTAGGATTCCTATGGAAGAACTCCAGTTGAACGCAAGAGTAAGAAGAGTTGTACCATGCGTTGTGAAAGTTGCCATCAACTAAGTTTGGCTATTCAACTGCAATCATATGGTATTGAACAATTGCACCAACTATTGCTTTAGAGGCAAAAGAGGAAGAGATTGTTGCTTTGCCATGAAGATGAATGAAAAAAAAAGAGCAAAAGAAAAGAAATGGAAAAAGTTAAAAGGAAAGGGAGATCTAAACAATACAAAAGCTAAATCTAAAAATGAAAGCAAAAAAAAAAGAAATGGAAAAAACTAGAACAAAAGAGGGATTTAGACAATTCAAAAGCTAAAACAAAAATCCCAAATCCAAACACTCCTCAGGGATAATTAAAATTGCTCTTCACCTCCATCAATATGAGTGCATGTAATATGGAAAGAAAATATAAGAAATATACATATCAATTAGCCCAAAAAACCCTAGCTTATATATTGGAGTGAGTGGTCTGGATTGAAATCAATCTAATATCTACCAAAATCCTACTATACTAATATTAATATATAATATCGTAACTGTATACTTGAAACTCACAAAACATGTTTATAAAATTAATCTAAATGAGATGGTAAAATATCTAGGTATATTCTAGCCATATCCACTACTAGAAAGGTTTTTTTAAGTAAAACAAAATTGATAAATTTAAAACCATGATTCTATTTTATTAAAAGGTATTTATTGAATTATATTATATAAAAATAAATTTTTATTAAAGGTTTTTAATGAATTGTACTGTATATGTGTTGAGATAATCCCATGTAATAGTAAAAGCTCAATTTTGCCATCCTTACCATTTATCAGTTTGGATGAAACCATATCCATTAAAACTAACTTCTATAAAATAAGTTCCATGTAATATAAATTAACATTCTTCAAAAAATACATTACTTTTAAAAGTTTTATCATAATGCCAAACAATTGCATTTCTATATTTATTACATACTTTAACTTCTGTTGTCATATTAGGAGCCCAGTCATAATCATTTAAATTGTTAGTTTGGTTCATATCAATGGTTATATTAGTATTATTATAGAGCTGTGTATTAATAAATGTACTGGAATTATTTAAGTGAGACTCCAAGCTATAAGCAAGCATGTAATGAAGTAATAGAAATGCTATGAATTTTAACATTTTTGAAACATACACACATCTAGATTTAATTAGATGAGTTTTTATAGTGTCCATTTTTGTTTTTTACAGCATATTGATTATATGGACTATGAGGTCAATGTATGAAGACAAACAGCTAGTAGTTATTTTAATTTGTCAGAAAACATGGAAAGAATAATTGCTAAAGTAGCTGTTTGTCAACATTCTGGTGGTAGCCTCAAAAACCTCTTGAAGTCCTTGCAATAGTCATATATCATCCAATTGTCTTTGACCCATTGAAGCTTGTGCGTGGTATCCTCATCCTTAACCAAAAACATCGAGCTTTCCCACCACTGTCGCACGGATATGTACGGGCGACAAGTGTCAATATGAACAGGGTTCGAATCCGGTGGTGGGAACTAAGATTTCTTTCCCTAGATTTTTTACATTTCTCACTTTTCGCCCTAGCCCTAGCTCATGGCCGATAGAGGTTCTTAGTATAAGGGATGTGTGATTTGGTCACGTCAATCTTCCTTCCACACCTGTCTCTCATGACTCTCAAACCTGAAAAACATCACCTTCTCTACTATACATTCTAACCATCATCCCTGTATCCTTGAGGGCTCGAGCTATTACCAATCAGTGAGACCATTTACTTTGAGCATTGTTGGTCCTCTTGCATTGCAGCCTCCACTTCCTGAGAACCATGAGAACATGTTATGAACTCCACAGTGCAGTGCTTGCACAACTTTGCCTCCACTATCCACGGTCACCTGGACAAAGCGAAGTTGGGATGATTCCATGAAACGCAATGGGTACGATGACCATGTCGCTGCAAAGGATTGCTTTGACCCGGGAAGTAGTCATGTATGCCTGAGCGTTTCATAAACCCTAATTACTCTATAGCCCTAGATTCTTCTCCAAGTTCATCCCTGCCGTCCACTTTTCGCCCTAGCCCTAACTCGGAGGCGGCTCATGGCCGATAGAGGTAAGAGGCTTGGGGAGAGGATTCGGTAGAAGCCCGAAGGAGGAGACGGCAAGAAGAGAACAAGAAGACATTGGAGCTGCTGCAAGCTGTAGAAGAGAGGGCGCGATCGATGGAGATGAGCTATCGTTCGATGATTTTGAAGGTTTCAATTCTGAGTGGAAGCAGAGGTATCTGGATCTGCTGCTTGAGAGTTGGGACAAGTTGTCGCCAGAGCAGCAAGAGAAACACAAAGGCGTCAGCCCACGGTATGTACTTGAAATGGCGCTGCAAGTAGACAACAAGGCGCGGGAATCAAAAGTGAGAATGGTGTTGGAGAAGTACCCAGCGCTTCTTTTCGAATCTTGGGAGTGTATCCGGCGAGTAATGGTTTGATAAAATCTATAGAGATTGCTGGGACAAGCTGACACCGGAGGAGCAGCAGCAGTACAAGGACACAATATGGCAGACAGTTAACGACGGGGGCAAGTAAGTGCGTCAGTTTGCATGAATGTTTTTGTTTGCTGCTGTTACAGGTCGAGCATTTGACATGGAGTATGAGGGCAGTGGAGTAGACTCGCTTTACGACGCCCTGAACAAGATCAGAGGAGACTGATTTTTCACGTATCGTTGGTCTCTTCCAGTCCAGCGGCTGGGGTAAGTCGAGGGTGGTTCGAGAGTTATATCGGAAACAGGTGTGGACCATTTACTTGTCGCTGGGGTTCTGGCTCCTGTTATCCTCAGCCTTCATATTTTAGAGATGTTTTCCTCGGCCGTGCAAGGCAGGCACTGGGAAATGGAGATCACGCAGGTCATCTCGCATGCATGACCTACTGTCTGGCTTATTGGATCGCATGCATTGAGGAGCTCGGTGGAGGACTAGGGAAAGAGGAGCCGTGGACGCCGCAGGTGTTTGCAAACAGGACTTGTGGCCGGGAGTGGAGAATCGGATTAAAAAACTTGACCAGGAACTTAAGTCTCGAGAGAAGATAAAGGCCAGTACTCAGTTGGAACTATGGACGAGATGGGAGACTAAAGCCACTGAAGTCTTCAAGAGGTATATTTGTAAGGTGGTATGGAGAAGACAGGCCAACCGTTGAAGCTGCTGTTCGTCTTCGATGAAGCCCGGTTGCTATTATCTTCCAAAGTGGATGGGAAGAAAACGTGTACATCCCACTTGGAAGATCTACACGAGTGTTAGGTGGAACATGTTTAACTCTGTTCATGGACACTACATCCAGGGTCGGCAAGTTCTTAGGACACGAGTGGTGGGATCCTTCTGCGCGGAGTCCGAATCCGGTCCCTGGGTTTTTTCTTCTGTCTCCTTGGATTGTCTTCTTCAAGGGAGATATTGGGGAAAACAGCACACTTCTGCCGGCTACGTCTACACAGGGGAATTCTTTTGAGGAGGTGGTTAGTAACGAGTGGATGCTCAAGTATGGCCGACTGCTTTGGTGCTCTCTCTACCTGAGCAACCTCGCCAAGGATCCTGCTATCGATGCATCTGAATCCTGCCACGATCTTCACCGATGGCTTGAGAGTGCTACAGATGCAGATAAAGTAGAGGCGTTTCAAACGGTATTTGGAATTAGGCAGTATAAGCTTACCTTGGTTACGACTAGAGATATCAACCAGTACAGCGAGCATGTGCGCATTGCCATGTTGGGAGTCAGATATGGGATTTTCATAGATCCTTTATCCAAACTCGTGAACAAAGGTGAACAGGGGGAGCTACTTTTAAGGATCATACTCTTGGAGGCAGTAGAAAGGCACGGGAAATGACTGGAGAAAAACAATCTTGGTGTACAGTGGACAACTTTTTCTCTCAACTGGTGAAAATGCCATTCAGTGAGCTTGCACAGCAGAAGAAGATGCCTCACCAGGAAAAGGTGTGAGCTGTCGCACAAGGCAAGATAAGTATCAACTGCCGCAGGATCTACAAAGACAAGATAGATCTCGTTGAGGCCTTTAAAAGGTGTTGTGGGATAGTATGCTACTGTGGTGCGTGGGGTGTCAACATCTTAGTGCCTATTCATTTGGGAGATATGAAAGACAGGCTGAACTTGAGTGCACTCTTCATTCAGGCAAAAGATATGAAGAGATTGTCCAGGCTGATTGCTCTTGCCAAACACTCTCCACAGTTTTCAGGCCTCGAATGTTTGGATGAGTCACCATATCTGAGTTTATATATGAACAAAGTGAACAAAGTGGATATGGTGGCACCAGAGTGCGTTTGGAAAGCAGTTAGTTTATGTTAAGGAGGCTTAGAAGGCAGTGCAGTAGCTGGGGTCTAAGGCTAAAACAAGAGGCTTGTTTAGGTACTTTTGTATCATCTCTTTTCTGATTTTTTCTTTTCTGATTTTTTCTGTATTGTAGGGTGGATACTCAATGACAAGAGTGCATAGGCAGGATGCGTAGGCAGCTCATGAACAGGTTATTTTGGCATTGTATCATCTTTTATATGACTCTTGTAAGAATATGTTCTTTTGGCATTGTATCATCTTTTATATGACTTTTGTATTCTGGTGTAGTTTGAGAGAGAGTTGACAGCTGAACAAGATCAGGTTTTTGAAAATTGAGTAAATTCACTTTTGTATCTTTTCTAATTCTGTTTGTGTGGTGCAGTATGAAGGGAAGAATCTAGCTCAACAAAAACAGGTTTTCTTAGCATTATATTATCTTGTTTCTTTACTCTTGTATTTTGGTGCAGATTGAGAGAGAGTTGAGCCTTGAGTGGACAGTTATTCTTGAAAATCCATTAAATCTAGAAGAACAGGTTTGTGTAGGCACCTTTATATTTTTTTTGATTCTTTCTATGTGATGCAGTATGAAGGGAAGAATCCAGCTCAACAAGAATAGGTTCTCTTGACGTTATATCATCTGTTTCTTACTCTTGTATTTTGGTGCAGTTTGAGATAGAGTTGGGTTTGGAGTGGACAACTGTTCTTGAAAATCCAATAAATCTAGAAGAACAAGTTTGTGTAAGCATTTTTATATTTTTTTTGATTTTGTCTGTGTGGTACAACATGAAAGGAAAAATCTAACTCAACAAGAACAAGTTCTTTTGGCGTTGTATCATCTGTTTCTTTACTCTTGTATTTTGATGCATTTTGAGAGAGAATTGAGCTCTGATTTTTTATGTTTGTTGTCATCCATTCTTTCTAACGTTAAATCACTGTGTCCTTCCCTTCTTGAGACTGACCATAAAACAAAGTAAGAAAGAGATGATACAATGCTAAGAGAACCTTTTTATGTTGAGCTGAATTCTTTTTTTATGTTGCACCACATAGATAGAATCAGAAAAGATATAAAAGTGCCTACATAAATCTATTCTTTTGGATTTATTAAATTTTCAAAAATAAACTATAGTCAAAACCAGAGAGTTGGACTACTTGTCATTGGATGCTGACTTGCTGAAAGATTTTAGAGGCTATAAAGAATGTTCAAGTGTGGCCACAAAAGATTGTTAAGATCACTCCAGAAGATGGCACCAAGAGGCACTAAGCTATTAAGCAGATTTGGGAAGTGCAAGACCCATTTTTGCGGGACATGTTTAGGATCTTGAATATTAATGACTTAACTCTAATGTGAAGTGGAATAGTCATTGTAATTGTCTTATCACAATTTTCCTAGAAATAGAAGAGTATTATTCATTACAAATCTACATTATAACCTTGGTTTCAAAGCGTGGTTTTAGCAACTTTGGTTTCAAAGCTTGGTTTCAGCAGCCTTGTTATAAATGTAGAATGCACCAAAAATGATAAAACTAAAAACATATGAACAATGAAACTATGACAGCAAATATTTATTTTAATGCATGGACATTTTGTAATTGGGCAATAAAAAATTTAAACAACCCCTTCTTGCATAAAGCTTGGATTCTAGAGCTTTGAGGGTTAGGTTGCTCACACATCCTAAATGTGTAACAGCCCCAATATCTTTATGAGGTGGTGGTGTTAGGAAGGATCTGGTGGAGGCAAGCTAAAAAAGCCTCCAACCGTGTCTTTACCAATGAAGGGCTCATTCATAATAGCAATAGAGGTTTGCTCACTAGATGATGCAAAAGTGTTGCTAGTTACCACCAAAATGACTAGAGGAATTAACAGTAGTAGTGTTAGTAGGGAAGTTATATCACCACCAAGTGGAGGAGGCATTGTTCCTCTTGGAACAAATTGCTTCTTAATTGCTAGTGCTAGAGGCTGGACTAACTCCTCATTCAGCATTAGGGACAAGTCCACCACATTAGAATTGGAGGAAGCAATACCTTGAATATGGCAATAGAGTTCTTGCTTGTTAAGAGAAATATCTTAGTTGACCATGAGCTTCTTGAGAGCAAGATCATAAAGGTAGTAAGGCTTAAAATGAGTATAATAGCCCACAATAGTCTTTTGGCTCATAAAATCTAGTGTCTGCTGAATTGCATCTAGAATGTGAGTGTATATTGTACAGCCAAAGACTGTAAAGTGTCCTAATTGAGGGAGTTTCCCTTGTCAAAGCATGATAAGGAACCATGCTAGTGCTCATTATGGGAAGATGGTTGTGGATATAAATAATTATGTTGACTTCTTCACCCTAAAAGGATTGGGTAAGCTTGCTGTAAGCCACAAATTTTTCCTTTACAATTTGCCAGCTTACCTCGTCTATCCGGCCAACTCTGCCTTGGCTTGTGCTAAGTTCCCTCGCCAAGGTTCTCGCCTATGGTACCAGCTCCTACTTGGTCCTACTTGGTTTCAGCTACTCATTGCACGAGCAACAGAGTGTTAGCCATCCATCTACGGATTCCCAAATCTCTCCCAATCCCCCTCCCCGGGTTAGACTGGACTTAAGGTTCGGCTACACTCCCTGCAGGCACAAGCAGCCAAGCACACCAAGCCTCCAGATTCCTAACACCCCTTGGTACCACAAGACTTGATCATGGGACCCTCTAAATCCCAAGCCTTGGATGCAGCACTTGCTTCGGGACGTCGGGGCGAAACACCGTGGCCTAACGGCCCGGTATGGGTACCTCTACCCCCCCTCTTCCATCCCGAAGGGAAGGCCCAAGCCCCCGGAAGGGCGAGGACCAATGAGCCACAAGGTACTCAAGTGGGGCACCACTCCACCTGAGCCGGGAGCACCGTAGTCGGTTTCCCTTTCGGGAGTGGGAGCTGCTCTTGAGCACTTCCTTGGACGGCCCCTCCGGCACCAGCCAAGTCCATGCTCACTCCCACCCAAGGCCCCTCGGTCCCAGTCTCAACCTCAAGTCGGTTTGGAAGCCCAACTGGAGAGTCCCTTCAAAACTGGTTCCTGGACCTCACTATCCCTACTATACTTTTGGAACCCCCTGCAGCCCCCCCCCAGCCCCCCCCCCCCCCCCTGGGAGACGCACGCTTTGGGCTTTCACCCCTTGACCCGTATTAGTATTTGGACTTAGTCTCTGGCTCGATCTCGGACCCGATTTCGGATCCGACTTCGGATTCGGTCTCGGACTCGATCTCGGACTCGATCTCGGACCCGATCTCGGACCCGACCTCGGACTCGACCTCGGACTCGGTCTCGGACCCGATTTCGGATCTCGGACTCCGTCTCGAACTCGGTCTCGAACTCGGACTCGAACTCGGTCCCCGAGTCGGTCTCGAACTCGATTCCGGACTCTATCTCGAACTCGGTCCTAGAGTCGGTCTTGGACTCGATCCTCGACTTGGTCCCATCCGATGAACTCTTTGTCATTTCGGTCAAGCTTTTGGGGATCCTTTAGCCTACGACATCTTGGGGAGTCGGTTCCTTACAACTCCACCACCTATAGAAGAAGTTCGATGCCCACATCGAACATCTCGTTCTATCCTACGACTTGTTGACCATGTCTCCGGGGGCATCCCCCCACTTAGCGGTGTGCCTAAGTTAGCCTCCCCGGCCAAGAGCCCATGACAACGGAATATAGGTGTCCCTATACTCCTCACCTCACCACGCCCTAGTATGGGGTCGGGACTTGAACCCAGCCTTGCTTTACTAGGGGGTTGGGACTCGAACCCAACCTCCGTAGAATACGTCTACGGATTCGACATCCCCGCGGGGAGTCGGACGTAGTGCCCTATGCCTGGTCGACCTATCCAACCCATGCTAATTAGCTTACCTTTGGCGCGCCTTCGGGTCCCGACATATGCCACTTGCTCAACTTGGCAAATTGATATTTTTAATTGAATTTTGCATAAGTACATAGAGTTCTGCCTTGCAGAAATTCCTCCACTAGATCTCGCGCGTTCGCTAGGTTCTCCTCTGGTTCCCATGTTGCTTCGTAGTGTGGAAATCCTTTCCACTTCACATGGAACTCTCTCACCTCGCGTCCTTGTCGCTTGCTCTTGCGCGCATTGAGGATGGCCTCGACTTCGTATTCCTCTTCCCCTTGGATAACCTCAGGTAAAGGTCTCACTTGGTCCTTGCGAAGCGGATCCTCAAAGTACGGCTTGAGTAAGTTCACGTGGAACACTGGGTGCATCTTCCCCATCTCTCGAGGAAGTCGGAGTCGGTAAGCCACTTTACCGATTCGTGCCTCAATCTCGTAAGGCCCCGCGAACCTGCTTAAGGAACTCAAGATCAATTCATTTACAGGAATACATGCATCTTTACCTTTGGGTCAACTTTCGGCTGATCCCACTTGGTAGTTTGAGGTTCTTGGTGTTCAGCCACACCTTCTCCCCAGCTTGGAACTCTACATCCCGACGCTTCTGGTTCGCGTATTTGGTTTGCCTTTGTTGAGCCCGTTCCAAGGAATCCCTCACTAGATTCCAAATGCTAAGTCTTTCCGCCGTGAATGCCTCCACTGCGGGCAACTCTCCATGATACTCGGCCACGCTGAGTTCCACAGGACCTTCAATAGCTCGCCCATTGATGACTTCCCATGGACTCACCCCGATACTCGAATGTGGTGAGTTGTTATAACACATTTCCGCAAGTCCCAAATGACTTACCCAATCGGTCTGGTCTCCCGAGACATAGCATCGCAAATAATCCTCCAGCTGCCTATTCACCCTTTCCGTTTGTCCGTCTGTCTGTGGGTGATAGGCTGTGCTGAATTTCAACTTGGTGCGATACTGTTCCAGGAGAGTCCTCCAGAACCTACTGGTGAAGATCTTATCTCGATCTGAGATGATCTCTTCCGGTCTTCCCCGCACTCGAACCACTTGTTCGAAGAACAGCTTCGCCACACCTTCCGCATCCACCTCCGTTGTGGTGGGTATGAAATGTGCCATTTTTGAAAATCGGTCCACCACCACGAATATCGCATCAAACCCCTCGCTTGGGGGGAGTCCCGTGATGAAGTCCATCGTAAGACATTTCCACGGGCGATCTGGAATTGGGATGCTTTGCAACAAGCCCCCGTTAGCCTTAGTCACGGCTTTTACCTGCTGACATGTTGGACATGTCTTTACATAGTCTTGTACGTCCTTAGCCATATCTGGCCAATGGTACTTCCTTTTGAGTAGGCCCATCATCTTGGGCACTCCGCCGTGTCCCGCAAGAGGTCCGTCATGACACTCTTCTAAGGCCACCTTCCTTAGTTCCCCTTCTGGAACATACACCCTCGTTTGCTTGTAATAGATGAGTCCGTTGCGTTCCACATAGCCCGTTTTCTCTTCCGTTGGCAGCTCACCTCTCTGGTGAGCTTCCTGCGCCTCTAGATTCCTCAGCAACACTTCTTGTGCTAGACCATCATTCTCATATGCTGTCCGCACATCGTCCCAGAAGGTTGCTGTTGTGCTGGATATTGCCAACCTCAAGCTCGCTTTTCGACTTAGCGCATCCGCCATGATGTTGCTCTTCCCAGGCTTGTACAGAATCTCGCAATCAAACTCAGCCAAGGCATTGGCCCACCGACCTTGTTTCCCTCTTAGGTCGGGCTGTGACAAGAAGTGTTTCGTTGCCACATTGTCCGTGTAAACCTTGAAGTGTCTCCCAAGGTAGTGTCGCCATTCCTTGAGCGCCTTGACCACCGCAAACAATTCCTTCTCGTGGGCAGGCCACTTCCGTTGAGCCTTGTCCAGCTTCTTCGAGAAGAACGCTACCGGATGGTTGTCTTGCTTCAAAACTGCGCCCAACGCAAAGTCCGAAGCATCCGTTTCTACCTCAAAGTCCTTACCAAAGTCTGGTAATGCCAATACGGGAGCCTTCCTCAACTTCCCCTTGAGGTGGACGAATGCCGCCTCGCATTCCGCTGTCCACACCATCTTCCCTTTTCCTGTTTGGTCCGTTAAGGGCAGGGCTACTCTCGAATAGTGTCTGATAAACTTTCGATAGCAGTTGCATAGCCCCAGGAATGCCCTCAACTCGTGTACATTGGATGGTCGCTCCCATTCCTGGATCGCTTGGACCTTCTCTGGGTCCACCTTGAGCCCATCCTGGCCCACCACATGCCCGAGAAACTTTACCTCTTGTTGAGCAAAGTTACATTTGCTCTCTTTAGCATACAGTTTGTGTTCCCTTAGTTTCTCAAACACCTTCGCCAAGTGTTCGGCATGCTCCTCTAGCGTCTCGCTATAGATCAGGATGTCGTCGATATAGACGACTACGAAGTGATCCAGATAGGGTACAAAAATATGGTTCATCAAC